CTTAACAAGATTCATACACTTGTGTGTGGATGTCAGTCGCTGAGCTCCCCTCAGAGCATCAACGAACGCAGTATGAGTACTTAATTATCTGGCAGGTTACTTGCGGAGACATTTTATGAACTAGCTTTACGACTACTTGCTCCTTGTCGCCTGTTCTGATTCACGCTGGCTTAAGGGATGCATACATTGATCATGACAACTTGTATAAAGATGCCATGAAGTGACTTTGTTTATGTTTCCACACGACAAGTGTCGGAATAATCTTACATACCTGCAGTCGTGTTTGGTTACAGATAAGGCTAAGACGATGAAAAAGGCATCAATGTCTTAAAGAAATGTCGTTGGCTGTATTTTCTTAAACCGTAGTTTATGACATGTCCTACAGTGACTCGACTCAGGTTATTCATGCATTTTATGACAAAAAGCTTCACAAAGACTCTGGTTCACAAAGTCACAGGTTCCCAATAACTAAAGGTGAATCAGTTCAGTTTCCAAACCGTTTGTTAATGCAAAGAACGTGAGTTCTTTGCTCTAGATCTCTGTTATAAGATCATTTATGCCCATATATATTAGACCGCTTTTCTTCGTGAAAGCCTACAAGATAGCGATCTTTGACACTCATTTCTTCTCCCCTTCTGCTTGGTTTGACAGCGACTCTTTGAGCTGCCAATCAGTCATCCCCTTGGGTTATTTATAAGCGTTTCCTCCCGGACCTTTCGGCATTTACCGGTTTTTCTAACACAGAGAAGCGTCGCCAGATCCCCCCAATTATCTCTGTCTTTTTACTCCATGATAGACGATTCCATCTAAAATTCATATCTCAGGGAGTAGGAATATGGTTAGATTTTTTTATACTTTGTTCTTTTATTCATTTCATTCTTTTATTCTATTATTACCTTCGCCAAGAAGGTTATGTTTTCGTAGGCGTTCGTGTGTGTGTCTGTCTGTGTGTCTGAAAACACGATAACTTGAGAAGGCTTAAATAGATTGATTTGATATTTGGTAGGTGGGTAGGTCTTGATACGACCTAGAAATGGTTAGATTTTGACCCCCCTGGCGGCTTGTTATGGTACTGCAGCTGAACTTCCAGTTTTGATGTCTCATGACCTAGACATGCTAGACATATTTCATTCATTCATTATTTCAAATATTTCAATATTTGCAAGATCCAGTTCTTTTCTTTACATAGTTGTTTATTAATACCTGAATACAGGAAAATTTGCACCTTGCGACACGGTGATGTTTGTTCAAAGCCACTCCCATGTCAGAGGTGACATTTTGACATTTGCATGTCGGAACCTCATGTTGCTACATGTGTAGCTAGCGATCTCTAAGGTTGCTGACCAGCCTGTGCCTCACAGGTGGGTATATAATCATTGTACAAACTCTAAATCTCTGGAAGGTTTGCCAGACTACGTAGCCACACGTTATTTTTCATTAACTATCATAGGTGCTAACTGTTTGAAAAGACTGGAACGATTTTAGCGACAGAAGCCCCCCCCCCCTAGCTGAATACACTTCTAATGACTAATTTTGTTCAGAAATTGGTTTATTTTTAGCTGGGAAAATGCACATAACGTTACGTGTCAAAGTGTGGGTAATTGACTGTGCCTGAGCGAACACAATTAGCTCCGACCTTTAATGATTCGCACCCGTCAAAATCAAGACCTCCGCCACCAGAATTGTCGGTTTTTCCACTGGCCCGACGTTAGGGTGTCGTTACTGGCAATGTAGAATTCTCGTAGCAGACAAAAGAAAGGTTATGCTATATTTGTTGAAGGATACATTCACAGAGTAAGTCTAAAATCAGTCTTAAATCAGTTTATCAGTCTAAAATATGGCCCCTCCCATGTCAGATAAAGTTCAATCGTGCCTCGCCATAGAAAACAGGTTAGACAAGATTACTCTCGCCAAGAAGGTTGTGTTTTCAAAGGCGTTCATGTGTGTGCCTGTCTGTCTGTCTGTCTGCATGTGTGTCTGTAAACATGATAAATGGATTTTCTTGGTACTTGGTAAGTGGGTAGGTCTTGATAAGACCTAGAAATGATTAGATTTTGGACCCCCTAGCGGCTTGTTATGGTACTGCAGCTGAACTTCCGGTTTTGATATCTCATGATCTAGACATGCTAGGGTGATGAAATTTGGATTTATTCATTGAAAAGTCACAGTGTTCATTTTATTCTTTATTTCATTCTTTTCTATTTTATTCTTTTCTTTTATTTCAGCTGATCCTCAGTAGTCTTGAAGTTTGCATGACATACCTGAAATGGCTGCGTACTAATTATGTCTCAGCTCAAGAATCTTGAACATCTTGTCTGATACATGAGAAACGTTTTTACTTTTGACGGTCTAAAATATGGTTTGACACATTCACTGCATTCTATACCATCACAAGGTGATTGGTAGGTACATGTAGGATGTCATTACCGAAATGTCAGGTGTAAGGTAGACTTCTGTTCCAGCTTTTACAGCTCATCTCTTTCACAGTGGCAGTGACATTCCATAGCGGGTTCCGCTGTTTTGTTGCTAATGATGTCAAACGTCACCAGGAGATATCTACTGGCATGGTTTCAGTTTGTTCACTTGTGACGCGCGGATTCGATTTGCTTCGTCTTTTTGCAGTGTCTTTATGTTATCGTCAAATGACAAAGTCACACTACTGTAACTATGAGTGGAGTTGGTGTGTGGAATTGAATCCCATCATTACTTGTATGAGTTATGACACTCCAGGTGTGAATATGGGTATCGATCGCCCACAGAATGGTCATGGAGCACGGAACAGCACACTTTCCTGTGCTACAGCACGCCTATTTGACACGTCGAGTGGCCCATGTTAGAAAACACCGCTTTGATTTTGGTGAAAATCACATATTGCCCCCACAAGTCCACACTAGAAGAGAACATAGTAATAGTACCAGTAATAACGTTATTTATGTGAAAAACTAAGACTAGTTGCAATTGAACACGCAGATACGGTGTTAAGAGATATAAGAAAAGTCTAGTCTGTAGATCTGATGTCTTTAAGTACCTGTACAGTACTGAGAGGGGGCTGACTTATTTTCTTGGAGGCAGTCCAATAAGAATGTATTAAATGCCGACCAATGTTCCAGAGGTATACAGCTGTTGAGTCAGCAGACTGAATCTGCCGCCGTACGCAGATTATAGCGCTGGCGCTGATGAAGAGTTTATACACTCTGGCAGAGTTAGAGGAATGTTTCGTTCTAAAACCGAAAAGCCGCAGTCATTACAGGCCCAGATGCGGCCAAGACTTTAAAGCCTGGAAATCTCATTAAATGTACGACTCACCATCAGTATTTAATAATCACGGCGTAACGAAGGACCGCTAAAGCCGTGCACCATCTGGCCTGAACCTGAACTTCACCGTAAAAGGCAATAAGGATCTCCTTTCCGTCTGCTTTAAATGGGGTTTCTTAAAGACTGATCATATAAACTGCCTTATAATTGTAATATAACTTAACTTTACGTCTTGTAGGCGTAGAAGAAGTCTACGTGACGAGACGCATGTAGGCAGGATGATTAAGAGACTTTACTTTCTCAAAGCCTTTTTCTTAAAGACTGATCATATAACTGCCTTATAATTGTAATATAACTTAACTTTACGTCTTGTAGGCGTAGAAGAAGGCTACGTGAGGAGACGCATGTACACAGAATGATTAAGCGACTTTACTTTCTCAAAGAATTATTAGCAAAGTTGAGTCTGAACTGGATTATCTTCAGATCTATTACACCGAAAGCCCCCAACCTCGATTCAAGTGGTGGAGTCAAGTGCACTTTTTATCTTGTCCTCTTTAGCCATTGATTTTAACAAACGACTGATCTAAAGATATCTTCTATAATGGGTTTATCATGTCTGTCATATATTGATAAGAGAGACCAACTGTGACGAGACACATGTAGCAGGGCGATTAAGCGACTTTCTCAAAGCCTTATCAGCAAAGTTAAATTTGAAGTGGATAATCTCCGGATCTATCACACAGAAAGCCCCCAACCTCGATTCAAGTTGTGGACTCAAATGTACTTTTTATCTTATCTTCTTTTGTCATTGATCATTTTAAGTGTGAGGATTCCTCGATAGATTGTTCTCTTCAATAGTGGGTTTACAATGTCTTCCATGTATTGATAAACAATAGCTGATTGATACTAGATCAACTGTCCTGTGGTATAAGGTATCCAAATCCGCGGTGGCAAGTACACAACTTCACATCGGCTTTCCCCACCCCCAATTATTTCCACGGATAGCTGTAGAGCTCACGCGACAACTGTTGTGATGTCTTTATCTTTCTCTGAGAACTATTGTAGGATTTCTGAGAAAGAAATCCTGCACTAAAATCTATTTCAATTCCCTCCCCACATCCGCGCAATGCCATGTCAGCAGCGGTGATGTGTCGTAATGTAATAGAGAACGACGCTAGAGAAGATTATCGGTCAGACTGTAACAGACGAGGGATTTTAGAGATATGACTTAACTACATTATGGGCGTAGTTTATATTATTTGATAACTAATGTCCTTTCACTACGTATGAACATCATTCCTTATCTTATCACTGTATCTTTAATCCTGTTACCGGGATTTCATTTTCATTAGTAGTCCTTACATCTTTATCTTATTCATATGTTCATGAATCTTGCTTAATACTTCAAAAGCTATTTCATTTAGTTTTTCATAATTAAAACGTTGAGTAGTGAATAATGTATTGCATGCTATGTATTATTACCCTCATATGACTTTGTCTTATGTTTTTTCTTTGTATTTCATAGATTATGTTTGAGATTGTCTCCTCGTGATCTCCCAGCCATGTCGTATGCACATCAGAGTACTTTGAAGGTTTATGTTGTACATATTCATCAGTGATCAGTGTCATCAGGACTGCTGTCGCCCTAAGCTGGTCCGGGGATGTGCCCCCACGCTCCGGTCAGGCTGTGCATAATGTCCTCACATTGCCGTCTCTCTCTCTCTCCACCTTCCCTCACAGGTTCAGATGCGGGCATCAGCAGACATCGCAGTAACTTCAGCTTCACTGCACCTCACCAACGTAGACCCTGCTGCTTCCTCTGGTAATTAATCGTCTGAAGGCGTTGGACCATGGAGATTCGGCCTAACGTGATTGCCGTGAAGTTGATGAAGAGGGAGGGGGATGGGCTGGGCTTCCTGGTGAAGCAGCGCTCCTGCAACCCTCCAGTCATCGTGTCTGACGTGGTGCGGGGAGGGGCCGCGGACCAGAGCGGCCTCATCCAAGTCGGAGACCTCATCCTCTCCGTCAACGGCACGAGTCTGGAGACCCTGCCGTACAGCGACGCTCTGCAGGTCCTCAGGGCGGTGGAGGTGGGCAAACCGACGGAGATCATCCTCCGCGGGCCCGAGGGATTCGCCACGAAGCTCGAGACCACCTTTACGGGGACCGGCATCCCGAAGACGGTCCGCATCACCACGGCGGAGAGCCCGCTGCGCTCGCTCGCCCTCTCCCCGGCACGCAGACTCATCAAGAGGATAACCGGCAACTCTCACGTCAAGTCCATCGACCACATCAATGCAGAAGCCCTGAAAGAGAAAGAAACTGTTTCGAACGGACCGCTATGCACTGAAAACAACGACCGGACGATGGAGACACCGAAGTCGTGCTCTTCTGTCGCTGTTCAGACCTCTCCGAAGGAAACAACCGCCAAAGCAGAAGTGAACGGACAGTGCAACGGCAATGCCACGATGGCGGCAAAGTTAGACAAGACGAAACTGACGCTAGACACGATTTCTGCCGCCGTGAAGAGGGAGAGCGTCAACGGCGGGAACGAGCTGGGAAGGCCCACCGAGGAGGGGCCGTCGTCCCGGCGGAACTCCACCACGATGAGCCCGTCCGCAAAGCCCAGGTTCGCCCGCATGAAGAACTGGCTGAACGACAAGCAGATGACAGACACTCTCCACAACAAGGGCACACCGGTAGGTACTTCCCTTCTATCTATTCAACTTTTATCTATCTTACTCTGAAGATGGCACTACGGTAGGTCCGCCTTTTACTGCCCTTTTACTTATCTTATATTTACAATTTTTGTTTATCTTATTTTTAAGATGCACTCAATGCTACCCAACTAGCACAGGGCTAGTATTAAAGATGGACCTTCAGGCACTTTACAGCCAACAATCTTTACAACAAAGACACAGGTCCTTATCTTCTATCTACAGCTTTTATCTACTAGTAGTTTATTCTGATGATACAGCCAATGCTGCCCAGCTAGCCCAGGGCTATTGTCAAGGGTGAAACTTAGGGCACTTATTTTTGTCTACATTGTATAAACTTTGAAGACATACAACAATCTTTATTGGCACAACAAAAGTACACGGACTTTTATAAGGTCTTCTACAACTATATATACAAACAAGTGAATATATAAATGAAAAATGTATGAATAAATCAACAGATTGAGTTGAGTTTGACGTATCACTTATACTACTAGATGATCTAGATCTAAGGTCTGAACATTAAGTATTCTTTTATACATGTGTATACGACCTTTTTATTGTTTTGTAGCTGAATGAAAACATGTCGTGTGAATGTCCGGTCATTTGCCTACGTGAAGTCTTCCTCTTTTTTGCACAAAAAGTGATCAATCGATGGAAAAATGGATCAATAATTGTCCCACATTACCTTGAAAACCTGTCAAAAAACACTTATAGTCAATTATGCACCCAGGCTACTTAATAATTCATACCAACATATATTGCGCCTACAATTAGTTATTACCAAGCACTGTTTTAATCGAATGATGGTAAATTGGTTTTTATCCATCAGCTTACATTTTAAACTTAATGCACATAGTGTGGACTGTTATTGTTTTCTTTCTTTGCTTTCTGATAATGGGCATCGCAAACCACTCTGGCTATAACGAGTAAAACAACAAGATGTAACAACCAGTGTACTCACACACCAACTCCGTAGGATTCTGTAACATACCCTGAAGCTAGCCTGCCACTTTTGGCTAGATTTAAAGTGTTGGCGGCAGGCACAAGATCAATAATGGTATCAAATAAACATGTTAGCAGAGAACGCTCCTCTCTCTATCCCTTCTCACCTCCAGTTAAGTCCTTTATCCGCTTTGAAACCGACTTAATGACATTTTGGTCTCCCTAACTGAAACCAAGGAAACCTCCTTTGACAAGAAGAAGTTGAATTACCAAATGAAAACCCTTTCCTTCCTGTGGCGCAAAGGCGTTACTAGACGATAAGAATTTCTGCTCTCTACCTCCGCGCCTTATTGAGACGGTGTGTAAGTAAGTGGTGGGTTCACACGAGACAGCGCTCGCACGGAACCTAATTGCACGTCGATGCGGGGTATCAGTTTGGAGCAGCGCAATATGAAATAATGTGATTACTGTCGGCTCGCTTTTGATGGGGGTTTTCTCAGAAAGAGATACGTCGGAGAACCATATTTGAGCATCTATTGAAAATAACACTTTGAAGTATTTCAAATCAAATCAAATCAAAGCAATCAACAGCTCACGTTGTGGTCAGTTTATATGGACATCCCATGCAGATTCAATGATTTTTATATGGACTTCTGGGCTAAACGAGCAACTTTTATCATTTTATAAATGGAAAAAGAGTTTAAGAGTCAATCGTCGTCGCTTGGAAGACTTCCGAATTGATATCTCTGCCGAGTGTTTAAGATATGACCATACCTGTATGTATGTTTTTATGGTCTTCTTGGGTTCTAAATTTTGTTTCAAAGTGTTGGAAGAAAAATAAATTTTCTATGATTCCACTCCAAGGTATCGTACGACGCAGACGAATCAACTTGACTACATATGTGATTTATTTTGCCAATAATACTGACAAATATTTCCATGTGCGTGTAGCGAGGTGCTGCTTGTTAAATGTGCAAGAAAAAAATCCTTTGTAAAACTGACAGTTGCAGTCGAGCGGAAACACTTCTTTCTCCCTAACACAATCGGACGGCCCCTGGGGCTTGTACCATTATGACGTTGTTTGATCATTATCAGCATTAAAACCACACTTATCTTATTAAGGGCTTGACATTTACACGCACACGAATCATTAATGACGAAAATTCACATCCGAGCGTGCATATCTTTTTTTTTATTTATTGAAACAACAAAGTACAAGACGAGACATGGTACAAGACACAGAGGTGGAAACTCTAGCCGAAGCTAATATTAATCACACCCCTGACATAGATTACAAATTACAAGTATGAAGATGACAAAACAACAAATGAGCGTTCGTATATACAAGACTAACGGCAATATAAATCATTAGGCAACTGTAAATCGTTGGGTGTTAAGTATAAAGGTTTGAGTAAGAATAAGAATTGACAAGAAGTATGATTGTGCGTGCATATCTGCAGAAGCTACACAATGTACCAAAAAGGCAACGTTACTTAGCTTCTTGAGTTATCAGGGTACCACGTCTGTTGCATCAAAGAAACGAATTTCGATTGAAATGTCAAAAGGACGCTGACTGCAAAAGAGATGAAACGTGCCATATGATCAAAGGAATGCTAATTCACAATCTAATTACAGCGGAATCAAGCATCAGACTGCACGTCTACCGATTTGAGTATTAGCATAGCAAATCAAGTGTACTTGGATTTCTCACAGGTCTGTCATTGCTTCATAGGCACAATCTGTGGAGGCCTTTCGGGCCTCCCTGCCGTGAGGTCCGCGCACCCCCCCCCCCTCAGCGATACCCCTTACGGGGTTGTTAGAGGAACTAAGAAGAAGAAGAAGATCCCTGTGGCTCAACAAAGACATCACACGAACATAAAAGCACTTTTCATGTCAAGTGTACTTGGATTTCTTTTAGGCTTGTCATTGCTTCCCTAGTTGAGAGGAAAGTAACAAATGCAAACGCGCGCAGAAGATCCCTGTGGCTCAACAAAGACATCATACGAACATCAAAGCACCTTTTCATGTTTTCATGTTACCGAGAAATCAAATTCTAGCTCTAGAACGACGCCGTTTTTTATATCAACTTATCCTTCTTAATGCTACCAGTTCAAAACATTCAAAACCATTCAGAAGTGCCCAGGGCTAAGGTCTCTGTAGCCGAACGCTCGGCCTTGACAGCCTCGTGTCACGAAAGACTTACTCGGCAGCAGTGTGGTACATTATTACTACCGTCCGTACAAACTGATAACCTGTGTTCACACTGGGCTGGCGGAGGCAAGTGGAAATAGAAACGGAAAGCGTGGGTTTGTAATCTCCTGTGATCAACTAGTATTATCCAAACCCCAGCTTGTAATGTGTATGATTATGACCGGATAACCATGAAATAAGAGTTATTATAGACCTAAACCTTGTAGTTATCAACGTTGCCGAAAAGAAGAACCAAAGCCGTTCGTCTTATGGCAACGATACTCCCAAAGCTGCATGCAACAAAATGATTTTCAATCACCACAAAGTGGCGTGCGTTCATAGCTGCCTGGTACACCAAGGTTGCTATTGAACACATGTGAAGTGTTCCATCCCCGAGATTTCTTGTTTTATTTATTCACACAAAATATATGCAGATAAGTAAAGAAATGTATTATAGGAAAACACATTGTGCAGGAGGAGGGAGGAAACCCAAGGGGATTATGCAAAGCGTCTCTCAAACTTCACGAATATTAATCATGAAACTAATATAATGGTTAAAACATACCAATGATTAAGCAAAAGCAATATACGAAAACCAATATACTACAAAATTAATACAACTGAAATATTACACAGATGAAAAGAACATATAAGTAAAACCAAGAGATACGTGGTTACTGAAGGCACCTGTAGGCACAACTGACAGCGCCATACATCTACTTGCTTTATCCCTGTCCCCTTTGGACCCAGTTTACTCTAATGGCCCCCGTGCGCCCGGATGTGCTGGCCCGAAACGACACCGACATTTATCGCTAAACGTTCGGCGTTATCTGATGATGACACACTGCCGACATCTAACCGCCGGTGATTGCCGGGTGATCGCACCCTTGATAGAACGCAGGGGAAGTGATGATATTGTTTAGCGGATGTATTTATTCCGCAGCGCGTGATCTATACGAGAGAGCAAGGACGTCGCTAGAGGGTGAAGAATCCGATTTGGACACGGTTAGAAGAACTTTCAAGGAAAATGAGCTGTTGAATCAAACTTTAGGGACTAGTTTGTGTCTCCAAGAAATTCGATTTATTTCAATACACGTCGGCTTTGCTTATCAGAAACGACACATGGGTTCAGGAACAGGCCCCTGATGTCTGCTATGTGTTAAGACACGATGTGGCAGCAGCAGCAGTAGTAGTAGTATAGTCAGCTGCAATATTTTCTTTGTAAATTATGTATGATGGCTATGTGGAGCTCCAAAACCACTGGTCCATGAGTGGTACGTCCTATTATATATAGCCAGTGGCTCCAAAGAGAACAGCCCACGAAGAAGATTGCATTTTATACTTGATTGTGCAACGGCCTTGAGTCCAATGTAATATCCTTGAAGCTACCATTCCCCGCTCGGGATACATGCTAACATCACTCTATTCAAGTCTAACAGTAGACATACAGAGACCAGAGGTTACTAAGGTTCTGTTCACATCCGTCGTATGATGTGTCGTGCGAGTTTCATCTGTTCTGTTAGGAAAAATGCCGTCTTAGATCATTGTTGACCGTTGGTTCTGCCACAGCCTTGTTGGCAATCCCACGACATCAAAATCTTGGGGCGACCACAGTCTCAACCAGACTTACAAAACGTCTTCAAAAACGTTGAAAGTTGGCCGAATAGGTGGAATAATTGGCCGGTGAAGTTTGGTCACACCGTCGAGTGCATTTTCCCGCGCAGTTACGAGGGGGAAATAATAATAAAAAAAAATTTAAAATGGACCATGTCCTATGATCAGTCATCAGACCCTATTTTTGTCAAATTCTACTATCCTATCCTACATATGAAGGCATGGTGGAGGCTAGGATGACCTACGACAAATGTCGCCGCGTCCTATAAACCGGCCACGCCCTACAGTTCACCCCCCGCGTGTCTCCATAAGGCAGTGGCCGGCACGACTCACCATGAGAGATAGCGGAAACATGCGTTATTGATGGCCGGTTCAACACGTACGCCCTCGCACACGGGCGTGCTTCCCCGCCGCCTGCACCCATATCCTTCATCGGGAGGCACGCCGCTTCTTTAATCCCTAAATGAGCACGATTACATGCCGTCCGTCAGTAGCAATCAGGCGGTAATCCTTCCCATGATAAGGCAGCTTCTGCCAATTGATGCGTTGCCATTTCAGCGGCGACATCCGAGCCCCTTGGCACGTAGATGTACGATGTCCCCATCACGCTCCATCCCTCTAAACGGCAAACAATTGTCGCTAACGTTCCGGGGGAATACTCATAACTAGAGTGAGATATGGCGGAGCACAAGGTCGGAATCAGATTATCCGACCGGAAGACACTTATCATCAACGTGCTAGTAGCCGTGGTAGTGAACTTGCTCTGAACGCTCCGACGACCAAGTACAACGAACTCAGTCAGTCCACCGAGTAATCCGAACGTCAATCAGCGTGCTAAGTCACGGATTCGAGCACTGAATTCATTTTTGAAGACTGGATTATCTGGTCATCATAGGTTCTTGTATTTGAGCTGCTTCTCGATGTAAAATAGATGCATGTGACGGTATTTAACGAAATGGGGTGTCTAGTGGTGACAGGTGGTACTGATGAATAGCTCCAAAGTTCGACCGTGCATTGATCAGGATTGCCCAGAGGAATCAGTAACCTATTCGTTAGCGACAGTGAGTGGCAGGTTTGTTATGTGTGCGGTACAGACGGCGACACCGTCTGCAATGATCTGACATAAAGACGTCAAACTGTTGTGTGTTGAAGTAGCTTGAAGTCAATAGACGTAGTCCCGGCATGGCAGCTTGTACTCGTATAATGATAACCGCTAAAGAGAATATCGGCGCTGTCTCTATGAGATTAGAAAGTTCTCAAGGCGCAATCAAGTGTACGTATAGCTGTAAGTCTGCAGGAGTGGATAACCAACGCAAAATGTCTTGAGCGTAACTAATCTAATTCTATAGACAATCTTTATCAATCCATAAAAGATATCTTTATCGTGAATATGAATAAAGAAGAAAGGACGTGAGGTTATGCGAGATTTTCAAGGGAAAGTACGCTATGTAAAAATAGCCAGCAGACAGCGCAGTCGAAAGAACCGAAACATCGAGTCGTATCGCCCCAGTCAGCGGTAAAATCAGGGTCAATGCCGGAGTCAGAACGGTCAACCTTGACGACAAGTGAGTGAGAGGAAATAGACTGAAGCGCTCCAAAACGTGCGGGGGAGCCTACCTGTGAGCTTCTGCCGGTTTCAATCGATACGGGAAGAATAGTGCTTAATCCGTTCAAGAGACCCTCCAGAGATGGTATCCATTCCTCATTCCAGTGGAAATTCTCGACGGTATCATGGCAGAGAACTTGACCCTTATCTTAAGTCATCAGCCGGGCCTTGAATGCCACTCAGAAAGCCCAACATGAATCATTCGGGACGCCTTGATCTACTTGAAAGATCAAGACGGATCGTATAGTACCATTCTGACATTCAGACGGAGCCCCTCCCTTTGATACCATCTGTTCGTGATCCTACCCTGTGGGAAGTTGCCAACTGTCTTCCCTTGAATTCGAAATATAACAAAACCTACTGACGAAAGTTCAGAGATAAAGAAGACGAGCCTTGAACTGAAATCAATATTTGCACATCAGAACTAAAGCGGTAAGAGGCCGATAGATAATACATTCATGAGTTGAATCCAAGTCATGAGTTGAGGCCAAGTGAATCATGATTAACAGAATGCAGTAACCCATGAAATGACCCGAATACTTCCTTTCATGGCTCCAAAACAGCAACTTCTGGAAACCATAATGTTAATCACCTCCTCACTATAGTATAACGTAGCACGCAAGCATTGAAATTGTAAAGGAAAGAGATGGCCAGATACTACACATCACAGACACTAAACACATGTACCAGAGGCGGCATCGTCCAGATGCATCATACTGTTAATCATTGATGCGACATTAACGCAGAGATCTAAGTATGTCACGAACTGCATTCAAGCCCCCAGAGTCTAGTTAAAGTTTTGAAGTCTTTAGATATAAGAATTATCTTCTGTACAGGAAGTGTTAATGACCTTGACGCCTTGCCAATCGGTGAGAAAACGACGGGTAATGTCGTTGTGAGCACGGTGAAGCGCGCTTCGCTGAACCCTGTAATTACTTCATGCCCATCTCCCAGCTGCCCGGCACTGATGATTGTATAAGATGCTGCTTGATTAACCATAAACCTGCGGTTGGAGAAAAACACTTACTGTAGAATGGTCCAGCAGGTTTTCATAAAACGGTAGTTGCATAAGTCTATTTTCATATATTTTGTACCTTTCATTATTTGAATATCTTATTTTTACCATACTATCAATAGCCATTTGGTGATCAGTGATCAGTGAAGACATCAGGAATCAAGTACATAATACATTGATAGATTCTATGTACGATCTATATGATTACCTCATGATGTGCATCACAAGATTGAACAGACATTTTATAAGTTTTTGTTTCCATGTTTTACTTCCAGATGAACCCCTGCTCGGGTACAAAGTGTCTGGGGTCCCTCATGCGCCCAAACGCTGCTGTGCAGGCCAAGAGCACGAGACCAGCTGGCGAGGTCAGACCCAAGGAAGAAGTCTTAGAACACGCCAAGGAGTTCCTGGACGAGTTCTTCGCATCAATCAAACGGTAAAGAAGTCTATTCTTTTGCTCGTTGTTCCAGGAAGGTTGCCAAAATCATAATGTAAGCAAAACGTCGTCATTGGCTTTTTTTTACTTAAAAGTAATTGCGAACCACTAGAAATATATCGATTGTCATCATCAAATATAGAAAGGACGAGATTTCATACTCATACTCTTATATAATCCCATCAGACAACATTGAGTTTCCTCAAAACCCAACACAAATCTAATCAGCGGTGATAATGTCTCAGATTACACCGGACGTTCCTGAATGGAAAAGAGAGGTATCGATGAAGGTTAGACATACAGCCAGCAAGAAAACTGATACTCAAGCAACCGGATATATTTTGAAAATCGTTCTCAAAACCTGTCTAGTTGCTTGAAGAACACTTTTTTTGTTGAAAAGAGAGACATGTTTGTCTTCTTCGCCCTCCCTCCCATGCAGCGCCAACACACAGGCTCACAAGCAGAGATGGGCCGAGGCGAAGTCACAGATCGAGGAGAAGGGTTGGTACGAGTTGACTCAAATGGAGCTGACGTACGGAGCCAAGCTGGGCTGGAGGAACGCGCCCAGATGTGTGGGCAGAATACAGTGGTCCAAACTACAGGTAAACAATCAAAACAGAACAGAATATGGTAAGATAATTGTGATGCCCCCAGCGATTCGTTGTCAGATTGCTAATCATCATTCCTTTACGGTCCTGTATGGTAGTAGTAGTAGTAGAAGAAGCAGTAGCAGTAGTAGTAGTAGTAGTAGTAGTAGTAGTAGTAGTAGTAGTAGTAGTAGTAGTGGTAGTAGTAGCAGTAGCAGTAGCAGTAGTAGTGACAGCAAATTAGTAGTACTAGTAGAAGTAGTAGCCCGGGAATAAAATCATGTTTGCAGCCCATGCTACCATACTGGTTCATTAAACATATACATTGCTTTACCCCTGGTTACATTGGCTTGAGTTACAACTTCGAAACTTCACGTTGTGTGAAAATCTTGACGTCTCCATGTTGCAGGTGTTTGACGCACGATACGTGACCACGGCACGGGGCATGTATGAAGCCATCTGCAATCATATCAAGTATGCAACCAACAAGGGGAACCTCAGGTACACAACTACGTGCACGCACTTACGAATGTGTTTCTCTGCCATACTTATGTCATATATACAAAACGCTCCTGGCCTGTATGAGAATTTTTCGATGTTATTTTCTGGTTGAATTTTGGGAATATCAACCACGAAGAAACAAATCAAGGATACAGATCACTTCTTTTATTCAACTCTTTGAAACTTTTTGTTTCTTAAGACATACATATAAAAGTGATGTACTGATACATTGTTTTGTAATTGGCAGGTCGGCTATCACTATCTTCCCTGCCCGCACGGACGGGAAGCACGACTTTAAGGTGTGGAACGCGCAGTTTATCCGGTACGCCGGGTACAAGCAGCCGGACGGGTCAGTCATAGGCGACCCGGCTAGCGTGGAGTTCACTGAGGTACAGTCTTAAAAGCACTTAGCGTCTACTTTGAATGAAAGATATACTACATCATATAATACATCACCAAGCATGAACTCAGCTTATTGAGAAGTGAGAAGGTGCTAAGATGTATATTGTAATAATATTTTCATTAATTTGTGCAATTATTAAAAAGAATGCCACAGCGTAAGTTAATTTTCGCATTGTACGTGCGGTGTCGAAACCTCCGCTAAAGATATGAAGCAAGCAATCCTTCAAAATCTTACACTATTTTCATCAAATCTTCACAAGGCCTCCCAAGCCCCTGAACAGGAATTCACTTTGTTACTCAATGTTGGCCACACCACAAGGCCCGAAGGCCACTACAACTGTAGACCTCTTATTTGTAGATCTGTCAGAGCCTGGGCTGGAAAGGGAAGAACGGTCCGTTTGACGTGCTGCCCCTGGTGCTGTCTGCTAACGGTCAGGACCCGGAAATCTTCGAGCTGTCAAAGGACCTGGTGTTGGAGGTGGAGTTCAAACATCCCAAGTAAGTACAACTTGTCATACAGGCAGCTCTGAGATTGCCAAGCCTCTATTTTCTATGCTTAACATAACTGCTTCAAGATTCTTTGGGTTACAAATTGTCCCCAGTTTTTGCAGGTAGAGCTAGATCAAGCATCCCAAGTTAGCACAGCTCATCGCACACGAAGCTTAACGATAGCCGGCACTCTTCAACATAGAATAACGTAATATTTATCTGGTTTAAGATTCTTTGAGTTCTTGTCTACCAATTGTCCCAGAAAAGGTTATCAGCTACTGGATTTGTCACAAACCATGATGCGTTCTACAGCTGCTGCAGTAGAATATAGATAAATTGGATGTTGATGATGGCCACCATGATGATGATGATGATGATGGCCACCATGATGATGATGATGATGATAACGATTATGATGAGTAGAAGAAGAATACGTTTCTCTCTGATTTTACTCAAGATATGACTGGTTCAAAGAGCTGGGAATCAAGTGGTACGCCCTGCCGGCTGTAGCTAACATGTTGTTTGACGTGGGAGGAGTGGAGTTCCCGGCAGCTCCGTTCAGCGGCTGGTACATGTGCACGGAGATCGGCAGAGACCTGTGTGACGTCAACAGATACAACTTCACCGAGGTAAGTCTCTTCAGGGAGTTTTGACGTTGTACAGACCCCACTTCAGGCTGTCTCTAGGATGTCAGGCAGGTCATATTTCTTGGACCTATAATGGTCAATGCTGCCGAATCACGTCAGCCTTACCGAAATGTGGAAGAATTAGTGATAATAATCATGAAAAATGCCACACACATCACTATCGATACCGTATACCATTATCTACTTAACTGACCGGATACTACAGTACATCATTATATCACTATACCGCTTATGATTAGGCTAAGACGAGCTGCCATTGATTTGAAATAATGTCTGTCCTAAACTTTTAGGTCCATTTACTCTTTATGAAATGAGATCAACCCCCAATTCTCTTTCCTGTACTGCAGCAAATCGCCAAAAGGATGGGACTTGACACAGGCCGAGCGTCGTCACTCTGGAGAGACCTGGCTCTGATCGAGGCAAATGTCGCCATTCTTCACAGCTTTCAGGTACGGCAGGTGCTACCATAGCGTATGTCACGCTCTTATACATACATCATCAACCTTAAATTTTTGGGAAACTCCAAGGGCAAAATTCTGATGCGTAGATCAATACGACGGTTCTGACGACGTATTCATCTGACCATGTGTTATAAGTCGGTAGCGTGCTCGGCTCGGAACCAAGAGGTCCCGAGTTCGAATCCTGCCATTCCACCGATCTTGTTTCCTTGGGAAAGGCACTTTCCACCACTTTCCTGACTTTTAGACAGGTGAAATGTAGCAGTATTGTCCTCTGCTTTGAAGGTGGCATAAACATTTTTTTAAACGTGAATATGCCTGACTGTGCCATCACCAAGTCTTGTGTTAAACGTTGGAATAAAAAAATAATAATTAATCTAACCCGAGGATGTACTTCCGTTCCCAGACCGGAAACGTGACCATCACTGACCACCACACCGCCTGCGAGTCGTTCATGAAGCACCTTGAGAACGAACAGCGCCTGCGTGGAGGCTGTCCGGCGGACTGGGTGTGGATCGTCCCGCCCGTGTCCGCGTCTCTCACTCCCGTCTTCCACCAGGAGATGATCAGCTACTACCTGAGACCGTCCTACGAGTATCAGGTCAGGGATTTACGATTTTAGCTACTAGGTGTACCTGAGATAGTCGTAAAAGTATCAGGTCCAGTCTTTACGACTTGCGATGCATTACGAAACTAGCCCAAGAGCTACCTGCCATTCAAAATTCGTGACCCTAGCAAGTCCAGATCATGATGTATCAAAACCAGAAGTCAAGCTGCTATACCATAATTAGCTGCCAGGGGCCACAAAATCTAATCATTTCCGAAGGTCTCGTGAAGACCTACCCACCTACCAAATATCAAGACAATCCACAGTCTTAACCTTCTTGAGTTATCGTGTCATCGTGTTGTCAAATACACACACAAAGACACACGAACGCCAGCCAGAAAACGTAACCTTCTTGCGTTTGGCGAAGGTAATGAAACGACTAGTAATCATCGCGGTCCTCGACTTTCGAAACTAGTCTTTGAAGCTGACCGTTATTTGATGCCGCTATGTAGGAGGATGCTTGGAAGACCCACGTGTGGAAAAAGAAGGAAGACACCAAGAGGATCATGCCTGGGAAGACGAAAAGAAAGTTTGGCTTCAAGGAAGTGGCCAAGTAAGTTCTGAAACATGGTCGTGAATCTAGGATATTGGGGTTTTCTGTCACCTTGCTTACGTTTCGATGTCTATCAGACCAAGAATCAGACACCTTCCTCAGAGCTGGAGTACTGCTTCTCGCCGCTATATGTATCGGATACATCCTTTTGCGTGGAGAAACGTAAGCAAGGTGAGAACTGTTTGTGTCTAAGAAAACCCCAATATATTATGTTCTACCAACCTGGTGAAATTGAAATTATTCTCGGATAGTCGCGAATCTCTAGGGTACCAGAGAAAGGAACCTTTTAGTCTCTATAGTAATTTCCTACATAGGTTTAGTACATGATGCATCTTATTCTAAATGCATTTAAATTTCATATATTTCATTCAATTATATATTGATCGTTACAAAGACGACTACTGTTTTGAGTCTTGAATGAGGCGTACAAATTTTACAATTTAAAAAATGATACTCTCTGATCGAGAACAGGTGAATCTTGTATTTACGACGACTTCTTATTCCCTCCCGCTTCTGTCCCTCCCTCCTTATCCAACTCAAATCCACCGAGCCGCACGTCCCTCTAATGCCTACTAATTCCACTGAGAACTGAGATACATCCAATTCCCCGCGGCAAAACTCATTAAAACACGCTAATCGTTGAATTAATGAAATAACCTGACATGCATCCGCTTTTGGAGATTTTGGAGGGACAAGGGAGATCCCAAAGCGTAAGTAGACGTCGGCGGAATTGCAAATCGCTATTTGGTTTCATCGTTGGCCTGAATTAATAGCAAACAAAAAAGAGATAGGTTGTTAAATGTAATACTGAAATAGCTTATAGGTCAGGGACGCGCTGAATGAAGTAGCGGTTGAATTTGCACGGCAACTGGTGATTTCCAGAATTCAAGTCAATACATATTGTATGAGCGAGATTGCCTTATGGACTCATAACATCAACACTACGCAAGAACTAGCTATTGGGTTGTGAAATATTCCACAACTCTATCCCATCATAGTATTTACATAGACTTTGAGTAGTCTTAAGAAAAGAGAGCAAGAAACATTAAGCCTAAACGAGAGACCAAACAGTCCAATATAGGATAGGATTATTTATCAAAACAAGCTTGAAGTGAACATATATAAGATTGTCGCAAAGGCCTAAATAATTCCTCGCTGCAACAAAGGATCCCTTGATGAGGCTTTAAATAATTTCTTCCCGAAGAATCCTATGCCTCACACTACAGCCAGATGATAATACTATATCGCAGTCAGTTATATTCATGAGCTAGGATGAGTTTTTGTGTTTGAGGCCCTGGGGGAAGGGCTACGTTCAGAAAGGGGTATGTGCAATAGAAATAAGATTTGCTTCTGATGCCTAGGATTGTGTTAATTGGACTGTACTTATTCACGACCAGAGCGGTGAAGTTCTCTGCCAAACTGATGGGGAAGGCGCTGGCGAAGCGGGTGAAGGCGACCATCCTGTACGCCACGGAGACCGGCAAGTCCGAGCGGTACGCCAAGACAGTCTGCGAGATCTTCAAACACGCGTTCGACGCCAAGGTGAGAAGTTCGTAAACATTCTTCACCATAAAACATTGAAATGATCATTTTTACACTTCTGTCTACCGAACTTAAGATTTCTTGTATTCGACGATGTTACTGTATACTAACAATGCGTCCCAAACGTAAAGTGATTGTCACATTGTTAGCAGTAACACCTAGCGTCGGTGCACAGTGAACCTGCCATAATTGCTCTCATGAAGATGACAGACGGTCATCGAAACGTTGGCTCTTGTTAAACAAGTGGTTGTGTATGAATAACTTTGCTATTGAATCACTCACCAGCCTGATCACAGAAAACATTAACGATTCTTCAGAAGATTTAAGAAGCAGAAGGTCCGTATAAGCTCTGTACTATGGTTTATTGTATGTCTTGTCGCAGGTGATGTGTATGGACGACTATGACATCATGCACCTGGAGCACGAGACGCTGGTCATCGTGGTGACCAGCACGTTCGGCAACGGAGACCCTCCGGACAACGGGGAGGTACGTGGGGGTGGATGAATCAGTGAATGAGTGAATGAATGAATGAATGAATGAATGAATGAATGAATGAACACTAGTTCTAGAGTTCCATGACCCCATAGCTCTGTCAACAGTTGCTTTTCCGTAAACTATGCAGACGATGCCGTAATCCACTTGGTATGATATGTACTGGAACCATCACAATATAGATCATATAACCATATACACATCCAGAGCAAGTCGAAGTTTCAGTGTCTGTATTGAAGATCTACGTACACACATACACACACGCACGCACATGCACGCACAACAGACGCCTCCTCTAAACATCTAATGCCCATTCTACATTTGCAGTCGTTTGGCCAGGCCCTTCTGGAGATGCGACATCCGCCCATGGACAACAACGACAACAGGCCGCCGTAAGTTTTCCTGTAGAGAAAAGCAGTTTAAAGGCTTTAAAGGTTCCAGATACAAACTGATCTCTGTAGTTTTGAGTAAAAGGAATGCGTCAAGAACAAGCAAAAGTATCGTTGTTTTCTTTGTCTTGTCTCTAACGTCTGTAATATATTTCATCCGTGGTAGCTACGTTGTGAATTACCATTAGTTAATTAAGCTCGCTCTTTTTTCCTCAAAGGGTGAAAGAGTTTCTTATTTTTCTTTTCTCTTACTTTGTCGGACGATGTTCTGTTCATTTATTTCTTTTTTGTTGTTGTTTGTTCGATAAGGCGTATAAGGCGAGTTTCTGAATCGAGCAGTGACGGGTTGGTACTTCAATGTTTATTTATTCTTTTTTGTTTTGTTTTGTTTTGTTTATTTGATTATCTTTTCGTTTGTTGCTTTTTGTTTGCGTATATATGGCAGTTGTGTGATGCTGTATTGGGCTGCACACTGTTCATCTCGTAAGCTGGATGACCCAAGCTATAGCCTCTACCAGGCTTCAGAAGCGGCTGGAAAGAGTAGAAATGGACGAGTTAACACGCTAAAGGAGTACCATCAACCTTCCTTCCATCAAAATTCAAGCATGTTATCTGCCTATTTCGCCCGCACTTCTACTCTTTCCAGTCGCTTCTGAAGCTCGATAAAAACTAGGACGCAGCCATTTCATGTATACATTTTGATCAATTTTTGATCATGACATTTTCATCAATTTTTGTTCGTCCCTCCAGCGGGCACACCAAGCGGCTGAGCAGCATTTCCAGCAGCGCCACGGAGCGGCGGCGGAAGTTCTCGAGGCAGATGAAGGAGCGGGACATGGACAGTATGGACCTGGACGGCGGGCCGCTCAGCAATGTCAGGTGCGTGGTGGTGTGTTCGTCTCAGAACCAAGGGGTCCTGGCTCGAACCCTGCCATACCACAGGTCTCAGAAACACGAATTTCCTCACTCTACTCAGATGTTTGGGTTGTCCAGTTCGCTAAAGAAAATATGCATGGTTTGCAGGTTTGCATGTGGTACTGAGTAGCAGAGGTCACTTGGGGCCATATTCACCATAGTTTCTGCCCTACAAGATTTTGTTAGTTATGGGCTATGTAGACACTAATAGGATGACGAATCCTGTCAATGTGTTTTTGTGGTCTAAATATGGTCAGGTAGATGTCTTTTACAACAAAGAGTTAACGATATCCCCCATGCAGACCCCCAGTCAGAACTACTTGTCTTTTTTTTTACTTTCTAGGTTTTCGGCCTTTGGGCTTGGCTCCCGTGCGTACCCGGGATTCTGTGCGTTTGCGCACGCGGTGGACACGCTGCTGGGTGAGCTGGGCGGAGAGCGGATCTATAAGATGGGGGAGGGGGACGAGCTGTGCGGGCAGGAGGAGTCCTTCAGGAAGTGGGCCAAAGGCGTCTTCAGGGTAGGGAACAGCAACGGTACTTTTATGAACTAGTAACACCTAGCTTCAGATAGCGCCCTGATGAAGATGACAGGCGGTCATCGAAAAGTCGCCTCTTTGTTAAGTTAGGGCCAAGGGCGTCTTCAGGGTAGGGAACGGCAATGGGACCAAGTGTGTAGTCTCTTTTCTGACCCAGTAACACCTAGCGTCAGAGCACACTAAACCAGTCATAATTGAAATGCGTCTTCAGGGTAGGGAACAGCAATGGTACCAAGTGTATAGGCCTTTTCATTAACTTTTTTTAACACTGGGGTCTATTCTTAAGTTATATTCTAGTATTGTCCAGTATTATTCCAAATCTCATAACTCAGGTTAAAATGAGTATTGTCTATTGCCCTCCGCGTAAGTGGAGGCATGAAATATAAGTTGAAATGACTTGAGTGTGCCGTCACCTTGTGTTAAATGTTGGAATAGAAAAAATATATCACCAAGTTTTCACATCTCTGTAATCTCCAAGCAGATCTTTTAGGGGCTGCAAGACAGTATCAATTCGGCAAGACAGTATCAATTCGGCAAGACATTATGATTGGCAGGCGTCACAGTAAAATGTTGACATTTGGGAATGTTCGATCTGTCGTTTCCCCGTCTTGTGTAATGTTGACAAACCACAGGCGGCCTGTGACACTTTCTGCGTCGGTGATGACCTCAACATGAACGAGGCGAGCGCGACCCTGCTGAACACCGACTCCACCTGGTCAGCCGACAAGTTCCGGCTCATTCCGGCAGAGGGCGTCATGGAGTGGAACATCTGGGAAGGTAACGAGCTTCATTTCAAAGAGAATGTCGTCAAACTGATAAGCTTAAGATTTCTTTAAGCGTGATATCTTTTATTATTATTAGAACATTCTTGTACTTTTAAGAGGGATCTGAAGTCATCAATGGTTCTGTATGCGTGTGTTTTATTTCTGTACTAATGTAAATGTTGATATGTTTCAGGACTATCAAAGGTGCACAGTAGAACCGTGGTACCCTGCCGACTGATATCGAGAGAAAACCTACAAGCACCGGACTCCGGGTACGTCGCAAATTCTACACTATTTCTTGCTCTCAGGAGCTGTATAATTCCAATCAAGCGATCGTTTATGCAGATAATTTTAGTGACGCTAGTGTTGAAGAAGAGTGATGGCTACGTCTGGAAATAACCTATATCCAGTTTCATATTTTCAATCATTGCCACAACGAGCTCCCACTATGAGGCACCATTTGTCATTGGTCATTATTGTAAGGTGAAATTCTTAAAATCATGTATTTTTGTCATGCTGTAGCCGTGAGACCATCCTGGTGAGACTAGACTCGCAGGGCTCGGACGACCTGAACTACGTTCCCGGGGACCATCTGGCGGTGTTCCCGGCGAACGAGGACCACCTGGTGCAGGCCGTGCTGGACCGGCTGGACAACGCTCCCGATCCGGACAGCATCGTCAACATGGAGGTTCTACAGGAGAAGCAGACGCCGCTAGGTAAGGACGGTTCTAACCTGGAGATGTACCTGCTAAAACACTTCTTTGTAGCCGGACACCGACCATACAGAATATTTGCGTGTCTGTATGACCAGGACAACCGCCAGATTTTACCCCAGAACACGCCCCAAACACTACTGACCAACTCCCGAACACCTGTCAACCAGCAATCAACCATGGCTGAAACCTTCTATCCACACCCGAAATATTTTTAAACATTCGGCTGCCGCAGCCGAACAGTGGCCAACACAGCAACTCTTGCTTTCAACCTACTCCCATGGTTGGGGAAGTTCGTCAGTGTTCGGGAGGCCATATTCGGCTATGTCTATGACAGACTTAACACATCACCCACAGGTCTACTCACAATACATTATGTATGTATGTATGTATACACAATACAACAATAATGAAGATAGGAGGTATCTTTACTGTGTTCGCTCATCGTCCGTCTGTCCATGTCAGGAGCCATACGAACATGGATGACGAGTGAACGGCTGCCTCCCTGCTCGCTCCGGACCGCCCTGTCCCGGTACTTCGACATCACCACGCCTCCAGCGCCTCAGTTACTGCAGCATCTGGCCACTCAGGCCACGGACGAGGAGGAGAAGAAAGAACTGGAAGTGTTGGGAAAGGTGAGTTGTTTCATCTTTTTATTAATATATAGTCTTTAATTGATAGTCTGGTATATCGTTGATAAACAGTCTGTCATAGAAAGAGCAGTTATAGAGGGAAGTAATGATTGATGCACTTTGTGGGCGTCCAAAAAGATGTTCATCATCATAATAATCATCGAGGACATCACCGGATGTTCAAGCGTTTGAAGAAGGAATCATTTCTCCTCATTCGGTATATAATAGAGGGGGAATATTCATTCCTCAAGCTACCAGACATTTCGCACACGCAGTCGTCCCTCAATAAGACATCTGGAGCCGCATAGTTCCCGTTTAGAACTTGTATTCAGCCTGTCATTTCTCCTCATCCGTTAGGGCGACTCTAGGTACGAAGACTGGAAGTTCGAGCGTACGCCGAACCTGGTGGAGGTTCTGGAGGACTACCCGTCCCTGAAGGTGGCGCCGACCCTGCTGCTGAGCCAGCTGTCCTTCCTGCAGCAGCGCTACTATTCCATCAGCTCCTCACAGAGGATGTTTCCTGGGGAGATCCACGCGACGGTCGCCGTGGTCAGGTTTGCCACACAGGGTACGTGTAGAGCAATTAGAAGTACGAGACGTCATCTTAAATCTCCAAGCAGATCCTACGGTGGCAAGACAGTATCCATTGGCCAGAGGTGTGTCCCATAGGGTGGCTAATGGTCACAGTTCTGGCCAATGGATACTGTCTTGCCGGCGTGCTTGGAGATTACTTCACATAACATAAAATAGACAGACTGACTGACCAAATTTGGGGAACGATGAATCTTCCTGGACCTAATGAGTGGACGAGGCAATGCTATTTTCATTTTCACATGAATGTTTGAGTCTCTGATCATGATATCCCACTCTGTTGTAAACTTCTGATAATTTGTGATATTTTTCTGTAGGTGGCGTGGGTCCTATTCACAACGGAGTCTGCTCATCTTGGTTGAACCGAATCGTGAAGGATGATATCGTGCCATGTTTCGTGCGGGCGTAAGTTTGATAAGGCATCTGTTGTGAATTTGAATACAGAATTACTTCTTTTAATTACGTTCATTTTCATCATTTCTCTAACTCTGTGTTTGTTAGTATCAATGTTTAAAGCTGATGTAGAAAATTCATTAATAATCCCATCAGGTTGGTGAGTGATTTAAGAGACCATTTGTTTATGATTCGATGGCCGTCTGTCATCTTCATTTACAGATCTTGCCCTGATTGACAATGACAGGCAATTATCAAAACGTTGGCTCTCTTGTTAAAACACGTGATTGTGAATAGGAAGGCCCTTTGCTATTCCGATGTGCCAAATTGTCTGCTTTGAAACGATTGTCTTTCCCAGGGCCCAGAACTTCCACCTCCCCGAGGACCCCACGGTTCCGCTGATGATGGTCGGCCCCGGGACCGGCATCGCGCCGTTCCGCAGCTTCTGGCAGCAGAGGCAGATGGAGGTCGGCTCTGGTAAGGACACCACGGGTTCTCTCAAAACTAAACTTTTAGAATATTTTAAGAGGAAAAAGGTACTCTTTGTACAGAAAGTTCCACAAATATCATAGAATGATCATGTACAAGTGATTGTTTTTCTCATTTGAAAAATCTGAATCTATGTATAGCCTAAAACTCTCTTTTCAGTGAGTACATACAAGTAGCTCATCTATAAGTGCAACTCCTAAAAAGTCAACTCTATCATGGAACAAGCTTTAAGCATGCATCACGCCGTTACGACCAGTTAAGCAAAATATATTTGAACCTTTACATATCTTATGTATCTGTCAGGCGACCCACAACATCGGCCAAAGTACGGCCAGATGACGTTAGTATTCGGCTGTCGGCAGTCCAAAATGGACGACATCTACAAGCACGAGACGGCACAAGCTAAGGAAGACGGCGCCTTGACTGAGGTCTACACAGCTCTGTCCAGGGAGCCTGGTGTACCAAAGGTACAATGAACAATTATCTCTTCCAATCCGCCTCTTCGTGTGCCAAAACTACAAGCTTTAAAAGTCCCGTTTTAAACGTATTTGCTCGATACATTTTAGCGGAAGCAGTATATGGTGAACTATCACATAGGTACATGCTAGATAGAAGAGTCGATCTTGCACCACAAAACTCTCAGGGCTATTCGTCCTTCGTTTTTGACAATGACCAACGACTCCTAAAATACTGCATGTCTGGTCTGAAGGGTCTGACTAGGGCAATCCTACTACATGTATCGATATATCAGGGTAAAACATATTTTCAAATCCCTAAGTGTAAGCCTTCCCCTGTCTCTAACGCAACAAACTATTTTCGCCACAGTCGTATGTCCAGAACGTCATTCTAGACCAGATCCCGGAGAAAGTGTGCGACCTCCTGACGAAGCAGAACGGCCATTTCTACGTGTGCGGGGACGTGTCCATGGCGGCAGACGTCTGTAACACGCTGGAGAAGGTCCTGGAGAAACAGCAGGGCCTGACACCCACCAAGGCCAAGGACTTCGTAGACAAGATGAAGGTTAAAGAGCAAAGTTGTTTCGTCAAGCTAAATGATGTATAAAAGTTCTGTGAGCTTCGCTGATTGTCACTGATGCATCCTGTTGTTTTAATGTTGGGATCTTCGAATTCATATCTAAAGCGATCTGGTTACTCACAAGGCTTGTTGGTTGTAAACAGATCATCATTAGCCAATCCTGAAGAGAAAACTGACGGCAACAAGATCATAAGCCTACTGATACACCTTACTTTGACATCAACAGATTTAAATCAATGGAAGTAGACAAGACTGGAGTCAGTCAAGGAAGGGGTTTCTCCACAGGAGTGAAAATACCCTGGAATGGTGATGAGACTATCAGAGATCTAACAAATTTGCACTTTCCTGCAGGACTGCAACCGGTACCACGAGGATATCTTCGGCGTGACCCTGCGGACCCAGGAGGTGACAGACCGTGTCCGGTCAGCAGCGCGTAAGAACTGGGTCCGGGTGAAGAGACTGCGGCCCAGCACGGTGGTACCTCCCACCAGAGGTCTGTCACCGGTACGTGAGGTAGGGTCGAACACGTTAATCAATCCGGCTTTCTCTGCAGATGGCTTGCTGGCTGGCTGCTCTACTTCTTCACCGCGCCGTAGCATGTGCTGCTCACCTTGAGGCATGATCACGGTTAGGTCATGGTCATCATTCATTCATTTAAATTCGTCGTATGGTCGCTGTATGTACGATCGCAAACTGTGGGCAGTTTTGGGGATAGTCGTGCACGCGTCATGCAAAATCCAGCCCAAAATCCAGCTGCCCTGTTACGGAAAAGGCTGTCTTAGATCCTTGTTGCAGGTTGCCACAGCCTGTCTGAAATTTTCCTAGGATCAAATGCGTACATGTACGACGACCTACGACGAATGTTATGCGCTCTTTTCTTTTCACATCTTCGCATCTTATTCCACAGTCTTGAATGGCTTTTGGCGCTTGACTGGCTTTGCATCTACGGTATTATGGAAAAAATAATAGGTAACGTTACATTTTCTTTCGCAGTGAATGCTTTTTTTCAGTTTCCTTCAGCATGGACAAGGCAGTTTACCACCAATTGCTGCTTGCAAATGACACATTTCATCCACCGACCAGATTTGCAAATACATATATATATAGATATAAACATGAGTTTTAGTTAGTTATTGCATCTACTGATTATGATGTCTATGCTCGTATCTTAGCTTTAAAATCCGTTCCTTACATCTGTCGACCCAACAGAGCTCGTCCCTGTCCTCTACTCCGATGTCCACGCCCTCCGCCACCCCCGTCAACTCACCCTACTCCTCGCCGCTGCACCGCCCCGACCCGACCGTGTGCGCCAACGGCGATCTGCCGAGTCTACATATTGAGGAATGAATCTGGCGCCACACTATTACAGTGCAAGAGAACTGGTAATAAAGAAGACAGACAAGTCTTGGCTTGACGCACGCCACCACGTAAGGGCTTTACTTCATTGCATGTATTACATGGTAAGGACCACATGAAGAATAGCTGAGATGCCAAGCTATTATAAAGTGTGGATCCTAATAAAGTCAAATAAGCCAATTTGCTGCAGCCATGTAGCACGTATCCAGACTGTAATGAATAACACGTCATCTGTACGCATGTGTGCATATGTGGCCGTGTAGGCGTACATACGAATGATATCGCGTATGTACTATCCACATAGCTGTATAAAAGGGAAATCGTATACAACGCCCCGTTCTTCTGATGCAATGCATACATTCATCAGATACCGTATGCGCATTACGTTCTAGATACGTTCTATGTTAGCTACTCGTGCTTGATTCTTGTATTAAAAGTACAGCCGCTGAAAGTCTTTTACAATGTGATGTACAGCCTTGTGCAACAGACGTCGATGTTGTTTTATATGTATGTATGGCCACACAAACTTGGTTTTGTAGATGACAACCTCTTGGTATAAAATTCTGACGAGAGGGCGCGAAAGAAACTTTTTAAGCTAGTTTAGAAATTATCTTACTTTGTCTTTTTTACGAGGATTCAAGGGGACTTCTCAAAATGCAATCTGGAAATTTTCAGTTTGTATTTTAAGCCGGGTGCCGTCTAGAAATCCAAGTTTGTGGCATCTAGCGTACGTCTAGAGTCGTGGCTACAGTTAATAGAGGCTTCAGTACTTGTTACCGTGTGCAACATCTACAATTCTCACCTTTCACGTTGGCCAAGAGTTGTATGACTTCCGTATGAAAACAATACTTTTTACAGTGTTTGAAATCAAAGTAAAGAGTGATTGAGCTGGAATATCAAAATTTTGTGTTCTTCTAAGATTGCATTCTTGTCGTGGCAGATATGCACTGGCCTGTTGTGATGCCGCGATCGCTAATGATGCTACAAGAAAGTTAAAACATGACTTGATGTGGAATTTTTAACAGAAGTATATGGGCTATTGTGCATTGAGGCCCTAACCAATCAAGATAATATAATGCATTGAAAAGATGTACCACAGCATTCATTAATGAATAAGACGTATATTACATATGGATTGATAGCGTGGTGTGTGCAATTGTGCGTTGAGGCAATACTCAAGAAAATGCTATATTCGCCTACGATTTATATAATATGCAAGGACATTTTCCATTGACTTCGATTGGATTCCAACAATTCAAAATGAATCTACTTACTGAGCACGTTTTTGAATGTACCAAAGTCTGGCAATGAATACCCATGTATTTGAATGTCGCAAATTATAGTGGGTGTTTCAAAGATAGATATTACAGATGTCGTGGCCTGTTGTGCAGTATAGTATGGCCATTATGTGCATGTAACGAGGTATATCATTCCATTGGTATTGCTGCTAAAAGTGGCAATTATGCAAATTTATCAGCACAGAGCTGCAGCAGGCAATCAAGTATTTCTTCGATGATTTTTTTTTCAAAGACGACGAAAGATTAAACTTAATGAAATGAATAGACGATGTATTGAATGAGAAGAAACATGCAAGTAGTAAAGAACATTTTGAAACCTATAATGATAGACAGTCGCCAGTGGCTGTAGTAGAATTGACTGCATCTTGCTTCTTTTGATGGAGCAATGCGAGACTAGCTTTAGCGTTGTTGCTCATTTAGGAAGGAGACCACATATTTTAAATTTAAGCAGGTGCGTTTGAAGGATCGCCCGCACGAATATAACAGATTTCTATCTTGCAAAAACTTTAAGATGTATCAGATGTCATATATAAAATATACGCTGCAGAATTTTCAAATGCTAAATCATTGTTGTTCTTATGTATGCGACCAGTCGAAGTTCCTGCGGCAGTTTTTGTTGGAAGAATACGGTCTTTGGTCGCGGTTTGTGGATACAAGACAGAAAGACAATCCCGCAACTTTGTATAAGTGAGGAGTCTGTGGAATGATATCGTGTGAAGTTTGGGTTGCCATGTCAAGTGAATAATAAAGCAGATCCTTGTTCAATATTGACTTCAAGTTGTCCAATCATTTCTTGTCATCGTGCTTGTCACTGTATTCTTATTTACGGAATAGTACTAGACTCTCCTGAGTCTCTCTGTTACCTTTGTAATGATACAAATATACATGCATATTATGTTTAGTGAAAGTATAGTTTGCAAATTTTTGCAAGAAAATGTATGTTACATGTAGCTTTTTTCTTTTTTTTTCATAACTAGACTAGCGTTAACGTTCAACCATCCAATGCCTATAATGCAAATTCATGTGCATAATTGTAGTGTATCTAATGAAAAGTATAGTTTGCAAAATTGTATTAGAAAAACGTCTTGAACTATACACCGGTGGTTGCACTCAGTAAAACTGCCCGGAAGAGGTTGAGTATTGCCTAGAGACCCCTGGTGGTTAAACAAACTATCGCATGACGAATATGCTTTTTACGTCTTTCATAATATAACCAGTGACAAGCTCAAGTGTTGTACGTTGACATTGGGATAAACACTCGACAATTAATTCACACCCGCCTTTTTTTGCTGTTGACACGAGCTCTTCCGTACCCGGTTGACTTTATAGAGTCAACATATTTATAATGCGGTCGCCTTTCACAGATAATACATAATTTTGGTTTGACACGGCTCTTGGAAAGAGGAAACAACATTAACTGAGCGTAGCGGCAGTTGTAGGTTTGAACGGACGTTCCATGCCCTGCACCGAGTCTGCGAGAGCATCGTGCAAAACTGTTAATTCATCAGTTGAACATGGACTAAACGACTAAATCAAGTATCAAGTTCCATACTCTATCAACAGTTTTAACATCGAGGACAATTTTAGCACCATTTGTTCACGCCATTATAAACTGTACGTTAACAGACACTTCCTCCAGTTGCCACATAACGTATAAGGAGGCAATTACAAAAGCTACACATGCCTTTCTGGCACAACGCCATAACCTCTGTTATATGGTAAACGTCATGTTGCTCAGAGACATCAGATAATGGTTTCTAAGTTTAGAAACTATGTTAAATATACACTTGTTCAATTACCTCGAAGGTCTAGAAATAATGTTACAGGTTTGAAGATATTTATCTCATTTCGTATCATTGTTTGGATTTCATTATCTGTTCTTGACACTCGTTGTTTTACTAATTAAGTTTCCGTAAACTAATCCAGAATTTTTCTCCTGAAGATCTAGACGAGTAAGTGAGGTGTACCGTACGTCCACATACGTCATAGATCAGACAAACATACGTAAATGGAGGGAGTAGCGGTCCGGTTCCTTCCTGTAGAAAAGAGTGGAAAGTGTATTCCGTGCGCCGCACTCCATTATTTCTTAGAACCGTCTGTCCCAGAGACAACCGCAACGGAAATTGATCGGTATAACCGAGAACGGGGATCAAGACTGGGTCAGCATCTGGTGGAAGAAGATTATATACCAGGCTACGGAATTATGGTTTAATGTTGGCGACGTTTGGATAACTATGTGCATGACTAAGTCAATGTTTCATACACCGGTGACCAAGTATTCGCGTCAAGAACAAATTAAGATAGTCTAAAAATCGTTTGCATTTCTTAACTGTGTTTGACTTTGTGAACTTTGTTCTTAACCTATCTTAGTTAACATGGAGACCTTGCTACCACGCAGTAATGTAAACACACTATATTACACGAACAGTAACTACTGGTAAAAGGCCCATTTGGTGAAAATGTCTCCATCATTGGTGCAGTTTATGGCTAGTCATTAAAAGCACATTGAATGTAAAAAAATTGAAGATCTAATATTAGCATCTTAGCATATAAAACGTTTTGCGCCCAGTCTGTCAAAAGTAATACAACGTTAAAGACACATCTCCAGAACTTACCTAACGGCTGTAGACTGAACAGCTGCATTGGCTTCCTTGTGTAATAGTTTATACAGTTATACAACATGGAAATGCGTATGCGTTCAATTAACTATAAGAAAGTATATTTTCCTTGATCACTTTGTTTGAAAACGTTGTACCATGTACAAGGTTACTCTGCATACGTGCGGTCCTTTACCCGCACGACAAAAAGTCAACCAAATTCCGAACGCGACAAGTGATGTCACGGGTTAGAAAATTGATATCCAACTTACGACAGCAAAGTACACACGCGGCGAGTGTTAATATCGTGGGCGGCCCAGGCGGCACATGGTTGGCACGGGATTCCTTAGAATTCGAGCCGCGGCCACTTAAACTGTAATTATTTCAACCATGTTAGTCCACAGTCCACTGACAGAACAATCCTGGCAGAAATTATTGCCCGGCACGACGAAATTCCTCCCACACAAACTGTAGTAACTCGCTATTTCTAGCGGGAATTTCCGCGTATTTGTTGGTTTGGGGAGCGCAGAGACACCTACGACAGAGAGCTGTCATCTGTTTTTAGATCCGTGACTCGACGGCTGGACTACACGAGGAAGAAGGTCGCGATTTATTTCTCTTAGAAACCACCCGAACGGCAGCTGGTACAGTTCTCTCTGACGGGTTTTATATCGTACATTTACGGGTCAAGACCGCGTTATCAGCAACCCACAGCCTTGTATACACTGGACCTAGCAGACACCGTACTTTGGACACAGTCAACAACTGTAATCTTTTACTTCAAAGATGAAATGAACGCGTTACAACCACTGGGACTGCCAAGTGAAGGAAGCATGACTACCTTCTTGGATACAAGCACTCAGAAAACCGGCATGGTGGTGAATGAAAGTGTGGACAGTTTCACCTGCCCCAACAGCGAGACGTCCCGTATAGACTGCGACCCTGGGGGTGTGGCAATCGCAGCCGTGTTCTCCCTACTGGCCATCACCACCGTTCTGACCAACGTTGCCGTCATCGTGGTCATCGTGAAGGACAAGCGGCTGAGAGAGGCGTACCACTACCTGTACATCTTTAGCCTGGCTCTGGCAGACTTATCCGTGGGCGCCCTGGGAATCCTATCGTGTTATATGTACTACCTGATATGCACGGACCCGGCCGACTGCAAGAGCTGGAAGGCTCTGGACTTTCTAACTGGTAAATGAAAGCTTTTACTTTTTTATGAGAGAAAACTAAGTACCTGAAGAAACTAATCTTGTAAACAAACGATACTTGAGTGAATGGGATAGGGGTGTCTTTGGGACTATTGGAAATAGAAGGTTAAGGACACAGTCGACAGGTAGACACCATAGACTTAATATGGGTCAATCGGGAAATAATCTAAGGGACTACCAAACAGTGGTCAGGGGTGTGTTTGTAGACCTGGTCACTAATGACACAAGCTGGTGTGTTAAACTGTTGGTCAGTAGTACAGGTCCACCTGAGTCTACAGAGTTATGTGATAATAAATGTCTATGGCCTAGTTTTTGTACATCACCTGAACTTATCCCATGAAATCACGAGCGTAAAAAAAGACTCATGGATATCTATTGTCTCCTTCCCTCCTAGGCGGAGTGTCCATGTCTAACCTAGTCGTGATCTCCGTGGATCGTTTCCACGCTTTCGCGTCGCCGCTCCAACACAACAGCAGCAAGAAGAGCAAGAAACGTAAAGTGGCGATCTTGGTGGTTGCCTGGGTTATTCCTACCGTAGCTTGGAGTATACCAGTGGGCGTGCCAAACTCTATCTACGATACAGGAGAAGTTGTCGGCGACCTGCCGGTTCTTTCGCTGTATTCCACTCTCTTCCACTTCTTGCCGTCGACTATTATTGTGGTACTGTACGTGCGAATCTTGATCATCATACTTAAGCTCACCAAGAGCACGGCTGAGAACGCGCGCTCTCCCAGCGACGCCACCAACCTGGGAGTCGGTGGCGGAACCAGACTTGACAAGAAGGCGAAGACGTCCGACGAGCTCCAGGGCAGGTACCGAATCATGTCGGGCCCGGCCGCGGTGGGCATGTACGCGAGGAGGTCAACAACGACGACAACGATGTCGCGAAGCTCACCTGTTACACGGCCGAGAGCCGCGACCAGCCCTGCTGCCCCGACCACAGGCACAGAACCCTGGCCGTGGGCAAAACGTCCTCCTAGACGAGAATCGGCTATTTTCACCATCACTGACGGCGAAACAACGTGCCACGTCTCGAAGCCTGAGGTGAAGATGACTTCGGAACAGCCGAGCTACAAGAAGAGACGTGCCGGTTACCACGCAAACTTCATCGTGCGTTACCACGACGGGGACTCGGAGTCCGACGCGCTTTCGCGGCCAGAGGTAGTCGTAGACCGGCCGAAGCTCTACGCCCACGAGCGCGTGCTTTCAAACATTCGCAACCAGCGCAGGTACGAGGCTCTCATGGCGCGGCACAGGCGGGCCACCCGCCTTCTGGTCGAAAGAATCGCTGCCTTCATTATTTGTTGGATCCCTTACAGCATTGTATTATTAATATTGCCATTAAACACACTGGTTGGATTGCAGGAAGTCTACAAAGTTACAAAAGCGCTGTCGTATCTGAACTCTACCTTGAATCCGTTGCTTTACGCTTTCGGAAACTATGACTACAGGCGAGCTCTCTGGGAACTGTTCTGTAAAAAGAGACGCGACGTTTCCCTGGCAGTGTACAGGCCATCTCAAAACAATGTACAGTTTAGAGACATGAACAGGTTTACATAGTATTTGGAAAAATACCTGAACGTTGACTACAGATCCATTTCTGTCACTGACGAAAGGTAGCGGATGCTACCTGAAACGTCTGGCCGTTTTCAAAATGTGTCCAGTTGCTTGAGTAACTGTTACTTTGGTATTTTATCACCTGGGTGTCTAACCTTCATGAACATAAGCAGACATATAACATGGATTTCTTCATATGCCAGTTCATATGAAGCTATCATATAGAGCTCTCCAGTGTCACTGACGAAAGGTAGTGAATGCTAACTTAAAGGTCTGACCGTTTCCAAAATCATGTCCTGTTGCTTGAGTAACCTTTTTTTTGGCGTATCAAAGACAGAATATCGGGACTATCAAGTACACCTGCAAGTGCGTATGTCACAAACTTAAAATGGATCCACAAATACTTTCTGACTTTTATCTGTGACAGACTTTACCAGATTGTTACTGGTGGCATTATAAATCACGTTATGTCAGGTTCAGCACATATTTGATTGCCCCGGCAGAAATGTCACGTATTGTACATAAACACTTGTGCCTGCCCGGTCTCTGGCACCAAACCACAACCAAGTCGAGGGTTCACTTCCGAGCCACTCACGTGGCATACCTCGTGCGTGTGTTTTCTTACATATCTTACACGTCAATGTTATATAAAATCTAGTAAATGTAAACATGTCAAGTCACGAATACCAAAAGGACGAAAATATTGTTCATATGAAAGCAGACGTCCTACAACTGTATAGTTTCGTAACCATGCGAACTATTGTTGACATCTGTCTTGTGTACAATAACATTTTTTACTTCATATATGACCATCATCGTATTTTGTACATGTATAGTGTATATTGTTATGGCATTTGTACTTGGAAATTGGTCATTATCTACCACAACATGAAAAAGTTCCTAAAATTATGTAAAATATTACCACATCTTCTACTTTGATAACCTGTATGATACATCTTTACCTACCTGCATTTATCCCCACATGGGTGTCTTTTAGCCACCACAAAAAGCAATAAAAACGTCACTTGTTTTATGATTGTTTTATTGTTTAATGTTCTATTTATTAAATCATCATGATCAGACCACTGGGTATTCCCCTTTGAACAAGCAGATTTTCAAGGGGCCCATTTTACACCCACATCTATGATATTCATAGAACAAGGAAATAAATGCCTATGTTATTTATGGCCGTAAGCAATAAAGATATAATTTTTATAACCACCATATGTCACACACATGGCAGAACAAATTTGGCACAAGGAAGTCTATTCACAGCTTAAACAGGATGTACTTAAGAGGAAATATCAAAGTGTTGGCCTGGGCTTTAATATAAGTATAATGTGTAATCTTCGAGCAGGGTATAATGTGTAATCTTCGAGCAGGGGGGGGGGGGTAGGTTGCAGGCACTAGATGAAATACAAGCTGTTATAGAGCCATAAAGCAGGCCAGTTTTAAAGCACAGTGCTTGAGACCTAGAGTGATTACTTGTGCTTTTTTGATAGCTCAATGCGGCTGTGTCTCTGCTTGCTTTTTCAGCCAAGTATGCCATATTACCCATTCTCTTTTCAATAAGTGTGTTGGGCTCTTTTACACTTAGAGATGAATGCCTCTAATTTGCTCCCACTTTAAATTTCTAAGGTAAAACACAATTAAAATTCATAGTTGTTACATTCAGCATATACATGTACAGTCATACACAACATATAACTGTCAGTAATTAAAATCATTTCCTCCTTTAAATTAAGAGTGGCCATCTATATATGAATAGAATATGCAAACCCTCTCAACTTATTTCATCCATCTATCCATCTGTCTGTCTATTCATCCAATACTCACTCACTCACTCACTCATTCACTCATTTACCAAGTGACTCACTCATCAATTGAATATTTTGATATGACATACATGTATAGCTTCACAATAGACTTATTTACATTAGTTACCACATGGCATTCTTGAATTTTTTTAGCTCATCAACTCTTCTTGCCAAAGAGAGATTTTTTGCTCGACACCTTTTCACCACCAAGCTGTCAAGAGACAAAACAATAATTTGTTGTTTTAGAACATACAAATTTTTCATACATTACTTATTATATTACAATGATATAATAATCATTCTACAAACAGTAGTAAGATGCAGAATATGCTAGTGGGTCAAACACTGACAGATTACTATAAAATTAGATCTGATACATTATCCACTTTAGGATCAGATCATGAACATTGAAATTTTTGTAACAACAGCAACACATAAATTGAAGCTACATGTATGTTTCTAATGTAAAGATAAACTGTGGCTCTCCATTAATAATATGGCTCTGCTTTTAATACACATCACTGTGCAAATAAAATTAAGACAACTGACCTTTGCTCCAAGTAAGAGCCTGGCTTTGTCCTCCTCTTCCCTAAAAATGGACAGAGAGGAAAGTTGTCAAACTTTACAGCACGTTTCCTGAGTTATGAAAGCTTTAATTATGGCCTGGCGTCCCTCTCACATGTAGGTAAACATACTCCAAAGTTTCCTGGAACCCAGGGCGTGAAAGATTGTTTATTAAACAAGCAGAAGTTGTTGAATCAACATGAGGGACAGGTGTTCAATTTGCCGTACATCTGGACGCTAACCTACATGAGGACGTTGAACTTTTTTGACACTGTGATATGTACATGTATGAAGGGGTAAAGGACTGCACAAGTTAGGTAAACAAGTTCTCTGACTATCTAATATAGATGCAGTAGAAAAAGCATACATCTTGTATCAAACTCAAATGGTAAGGAGAGTACATTGAAAATTAAAAAAAAAAGAATGAGAAGAAATGAAAGCCTTACTTTGCCAGGCTGTCTGGCTCAGAGCTGTCATCTCGACCAATGGAAGCCTTCAACCTGAATTTCTCCTTGATAGCCTGTAAGAGAAGACCTTATAATATTAGTTGTCACACAGAATCATGAAGACTAGTAGACAACCATGAAGACCAACTCCCAATTAATTATAGATCCTAGAACCAACTCCCAACCATGAACTGGAGAAGGTTGGGAGGCCATGGTTGGGTGTGTTACACACGTGTCAGCTATGTGTAACATGGTTGGCACCATGTGAAAGGGGCTTAAGTCATAGCCTCCTGTGCAGGCCCCGCGGCGGTGGGGAAGAGTCTTTAACACATTATTTTAATATAGCCGGCCATCCTACATAGCCGCCGAGAGAAGGTTGCTTTCCACGTTAAAAACTCTTCCCCACCGCCGCGGGGCCTACACAGGGCTACTTAACTCACCTGTGACAGAAGAGCATTCTTGTACTCCTTCTTCAGGATCATGAGGAAGTCGAGCCAGGTGAGGGTGAGGTTGTGGTACTCTAACATCGGCACCAGCAGGGTGAAGTTGTGCACATCCTCTATGTTCTTGTCTTTCTGGCCCTAAAGAACCAAAAAAAAAAAAGAGTACTGAATCTTGAACCAGTTTTAGCTCACTGAAGAGCTACTCTTCCACTGGTCATGACAGTAAAGGTGGAGACTATGTACAGTATTTACATGTTCATTGTACAAGGGAAATTCTCCTAGCTCTTTTTGACAAGCACAATGAACCACAGCTTAATGTCCCATCCAAAGGACTGCAACCCTTTACGCACAAAGCAAGCAATATCAGAAAAGCATAACCTCACTGAAGTCATTATGAAGACAATATTACCTTGTAGCTGACACACAGGGGGACCTGTGGGATCTTGATGTACAGAAACGTGTTGTTCCTTGCTGCTCTTTCCTGTCAACAAAACATAGAAATGAAGTGTAACAGATTCTACAATTCTATATTGTCTCTTTTCACTTACAGTAAAATCAAGAGAGTTTGCTATGATAACGTAAGGATTGTAACACTTGCATGCATGTTAACTTATTTGTATAAAGTAAATGCTATCCAACCTTCATTTTCTCAATGTCATCCCGGCTTCCGATGGAGGCTTTCCTCAGCAGAGACTTCTTCTGAGGCTGTAGAATGGAAAAACAAAATCAATCTTTACCTAGATATGTAACAACTAGTACACTCATTAACACTGTCTATGCACAGTCCACGTGAGTCCAAATGCAAACTTGTACAAACACATGCTGCTACATAGGAAAATAGAATATTGTTTTCACTAAACACACATATTGGACAGAAAACCATGGGGCAGTGCAAACTTTCAGGCAACACTGTGGACTATCATTGTCACATGTCTGTAATTGGACACGTTTGAAGTACTGTACAGTAGTCTGTCACCCCTGATGGAGTCAAAATTCAGTTTCATGTTGGATATGATGTTAACTCTAATCATACTAATTATAGTTTTACATGAGCTTTCAAGCAGATTAAATCACTACTATAGTACTGTACATACAATGATAAAAGACAGACAAAACTGGAACAGTCAACTTGGTGAACAAGGAAAATGTGAGAAAACAAGTACTCATTAAGAGCCTATGGGAACATGAAGACAACACTGAACAATGAGATTGTACACATGCAATGGCAACAGGCACATGCAGATGCACACAAGCTGCTTGATACATTCCAACTCTTAGTAAGCATAAAATTCATCCACTTCCCTAAGCTTGAGCCCAACACTACATGCAATACAAAAACCAATTCAACTGGAACAACCTGCAAATAGATAACAACCTGCAAATAAACAGTAGCGTTTGCTCTACAAACTAGTTTGTTCAGCTAACAACATCCAAAACAACAGACAAGCCCTAAACAAACACATGAACAGCATGGATGTGAGCATGACAGGGACAGGACAGAAGCTGTGCATGAGGACAGGACCACACAATGAGACCATGCAGTGGTCAGTACCCTGGCTGACGGCTGGCCGGAGTCCCTCACTCCCACCGGCTGCTGTTCATCTATAGACCCAGAGCGGACATGTACACCTACAGTCTACAGGAGGGAAAAGGCAGCAGAGAAACACTACAAGTGCCTCTTGTACACTCAAATTCATGTACTGAAATCCTGCATTGGATAACGAATACAGAAAACATGTCCTATAGACAATAAAAGAGGAGGCTTACAAAGAAAAAGTGTATCAGATATTCAAGATAGTCATCAGCTACAGAAAAAAGGCCTATAGAAAATACAGGAGAAATACTACAAGAAAAAGTATATAAGATTTACATGATTGGTATAGGTAGAGCATTCATGCAATGTATTCAAAATTGCATAGTATATAAGCACTCAGAAATGTACAGAACCAATGTAACACATGCATGCTTGATCAACTGTAGATAGTTTGCAAATAGAGAGAGCTTTCAAAGATATACAGGCCAGATACTGAGTATGATATAGAGACCAGAGATATTCAAAAGAAGTCACAACTGACATGCAACTTAAGGTCTTGTATTGGAGCAACAAACATGCTATTGATAAAGTCTTACTGGAGTCCTGAAAAAGAACATGGATGTAAAGATACCATGGCTATGTACGAAATCATTGTGTCATTGATTCAATAACTCACATGCAGCATAATCATAGCTAATAACCAGCTCAATATACATTCAAGATGTGCTTAAAAATCACAATCTTAAAATTGAGCATTGTCAAGTTTTGTTTTGTTTTGTGGGCAGGAAAACAAACAGTAAATCACATTCTGTTAAAAGAAAGCATCTACAGGAGTGCATAGATAAAATAATTCGCTTACCGTTGCCTGTGGTTCTGCTTCAAACTCTCCAGCTGTGGAAAGGGATACGACATAGATGTAAACAAACATATTGGCTGGCAGGATTGGGAAGATAAAAGTTGATAAAATCATGTAGAGATGAGATTTAATGAAGCAGTTTTACAGAAATTAGCCATGAGTCTTTAAAAGTCTGAATTTCAGTACCAAGGACAGCACAATATTGGTAGGAATGTGAGAAAGTTCAGCATGTCAGTAGAGCATAATGCACCTATACATAATCTGTAATGTATTGTGCATAGTACTTCAGCAGAATGTCCTGTTTAAGTCCTATTTGCATATCTAAGGATAACATCAAGTCTGTAGTTTTTTCCATGCTGTGTCGGAAAAGATATTATTGTCTGCAATGGGCAAAATTCTGATGCAATGTTGACCAAACATCCAACAGAAACTGTTAGGAACCTGGGTTTCGTGCACGTGCAGTACATTTTGATGACGGGCTAGAAACCCCACCTTGTGAGCTAGTCTCCTCTCCTTCATCCACATTCCTCCCTGGGAAGAAGAAGTTCATCATGGTGCGGAAGAAGCGGTAGGTGAGCTGGATGGTCACTGGAACCACGTTCACCTCAAAATGCTCCTTTACCGAGATCCCTCCAACTGGGAGGAAGACAGACATATGTGTTACACAGGGCTTCAAATACTGCTGCAGGTAACATTGAAAACTACCTGCACTACAAATATGTTTCCTTCACCTCAATTTTGTGTACTAAATTGATTTCTTTCCATTTTGATGCCTGAGGCTACAGTAGCATGTATTTCAGCACTAAGGACAGCACCACAACCTGTCATACATGTATATAACATTGTTTATCATGTCTGGCCCTAATAGTTTATTTTGATGCATATAGTTGTAATAGCACAAAAGCACAGCAGTGTACCTGTTCCTTTCTCTCTGCTGAAGGCCCTCAGAGCTTTCCGGTGGGTGTGTTTGCGATCTAGACTGGACACTTGTGGCCGTAGTACATCCTGGGTGAATATACAGACAGAAAACATGGAAAATCAGGTAAGAAAAAAGTAAAAAAAGCTGTACATTTGAAAAAACTTTGCACTGACATTTCCATCCCTTCCTTCCACACAAGCACACACAAACACAACCTTTAAGTCCATCCTTACACATATCAACCTATTAATAAACATACCTTGTGTTGGAACAAAAGTTTTAACTCTTTAAAAACTAAATGTACCTTGTATGCCTCGTTTGGCAGCAGGTTGGCCACAGTGACCCAGCCCAGCTCCAGCAGGTGTTCACCTGAGTCATCACTCTTAGTCACCTTGGTGTACCTGGGTAGGTGAGAAATGAAATTGTTTTTTCAACATTCATCTCACATACAATAACAAAACATGTAAGTAATTACCATATTATAAAAAAAAATTAACATTGTCACACCAGATCCATGTGTCTTCATTAGTGTTGGAGCACTGTATCAACGATAAGCCGATAAGTGTCACTCTACAGCAAGGGAAGTCATGCCTAAATAATTTTCCAAGGGCACAACATCAGGCATGTCAGGGGATCGAACCCAGGACCTCTCAGCTCTGAGCTAATCCAACCATTATACCACACGATGCCACTACTATATACAAAGCAAAGTATCAACTGGGTGCAGCCTGGTGCTCCATAATATTCAACTACGAAGTCCACACAACGGTTCACAGCTGTCATGACTTACAGAAAGTCTGTGAGTGCCAGGTCAGCCACCCCGATCTGTCCATCCTCCTCTGTTAGTCTCCACTTGGCCGACACAAAACACACCTCAATCCTCCGCACAGGCGTCACCTGGTCATCTGGAAAATTAGAAGGAAAGAAAGTGATGGCCATCCAGTTAAGCTCACAAAAAAAGCACAATAAACAGTAAACCATGGCTTAATGTCATGTCCTGAGAACTGTATCCCTTTCCATCTTATTCCATTGAATATAAAATCATTTTAAAATTTTAATCATGGAGAAAGCTGACTTTTTAAATGACAGTGATTTCTATGCATTTGTTCACTAACCTTTTGTGACATGTCTCTTGTGAGAGATCTGCAGTTGTTGTCTCTCCTTGAAACAGCTAGAAAAGTAAACATTTAGTCATCATTCAAAAATGCTGATCTAGATGCAAGTGAACAAATCATTAAGTAATTGCAGAATGGGCTACTGCTGAAGATGAGACCTATGTGCACATGGTAATGCCTTCTCATGCAAACTTATTGTAAGGAATCAATAATCCAAAATTGATACTCCTTGAAATCAAGAGAGGCTATAGATTATACATACATGGTTTTATGGTTGTTGGCCTTTTTCCCAAAAGGACATCAATCTTATTGTCAGAGATGGTGTACTGTACAGTACATAGTAGTTGATACACACACATCTTATTGTGTTACTATACATGTAGAAACAGACTGATCACCTGATCATGGCATGTAACTCCTCACTGGTAGCTGTCAGCTGTTCCTTACACCCGTTGTACTGTTTGGCCAAGTCTTGACTCTGTTCTTGCAGACTGGAAAGACAAAGAAGTAATGGATATGCTAACATTTTCACATATAAACATGAGACTGTGAGCATTTCCTCATACTTTCAAAAGATGTTTTACCATGCATATCTACACAAAGTGAGAGTATGATACCTTTTATCTGTGACGTTGGCTTCCAGTGCCCTGTGTGTGTTGTACAGCTCTCTTTCCAACCGATGCATGTTGGACAACAGAGACCTATATGTATGAAAAACAACAAATGTTTCAACAAACCCATCAAGTGGTTTCAAAAGGCTATGTTTCTATATTTCTATAACACATTGTCTCAAAATCTGATAAAAAAGATTAAATGATTAGAAGGCAGAGCTTTTCCGCATCTGCATTAACAGCACTGTATAATTTTGTCATAAAATGATTATAAAACTGCTGAAGGCTTCCTTCACCTGACGTTGTTCTGCATCTGCAGCAGTGGTCCTCTCTGGTCCTCCACGCTGGACAGTTGCAGCTGGAACCGCATCCTCTGCAGACGCTCACTGGCCTCCTGCAGGTGTCAGTAACAACAACATTTCCATAACGTATACACTCACTGATGTGCACAATCCTTTGTTTTGCATAACTGGCAAACAGCCTTGGGGTATAACATACCAGTTTTGTACAGTAACTTGAAACACTCCCACTGGAAAGGACCCCTAGTCTTTTCAAGTGTGGTAGTTTCTTCAACATGCTTCAGGTGTGGGATTTGAAACCAGAACTTTAACAGTCATAACTCCCCTGAGCACAAGGCATCCATGTGACATTGTGGTGCTTCTGTACAATGCTTGAAGCACCAGTAACAAAAGGATAATAGGAAGACCCTGTGCTTCAGTTTGCCCCTGACTTACCTTTCTTTTGGGCTCCACGTATAGCAGCAGATTCTGACAGATATCCAGGATCATGGCATATTGCACCTGTCAAGGGGAAACAAGGAGATATCAACACTACAATCCTTCTGATAAATGGAAGAATATCTAATGCAGGAAAATTATCATCATCCTGAAAAATGGTTGAACTGAAATGATGCTCAATAGTTAATTGGAAAGCTTACAGAGTTGGTGCAGACTTGTAGCTCAGAATGGACGACTGTGAAAGAGTCGACCGCTCGTTCTCGCTTCCACATGTCTGATAACTCCTCCTTCTCCTGGACAAACACAGGAGTTAAGAAACACAGATTGATGAGTAATACATAGTAAACTGTGGTGGTCCTTGTGATAGATTTCAGAAGGTATCCTTCATGTACATTTATCTGTGTATTTGTGCCACTTTGGAAAAGCATGCCTTTAGTGATCTCTAGTGCAGCACCCCCAGATGCACACTTAAGATATGGACGTCTGGAGTGCTTTATACTGGGTTGCATTGAAGATCTCTTTAGATACATTTCTCAGGGAGGTATGACCTTTTCCCCAAGATTTTATACAAGCTTGGAGAGACGTAATATGTGGTGGCACCTCATGAACTGAATTGATGATTTTATACCATAGATACTTTATATGCAGGATCTGACCTCAGGTTTGGGAGGCACAGTGGATGGGTCGAGGTCCAGCGGGCCGTAGCTGGCGTAGTAGAACTGGCAGCTGCAGTGGGAAATGATCCTCTGCAGCTGGAGGTCGTCGTCGGCAGTCTTCGCCCCGACCGTGCTGCTCACCACGCCCCCCACGGACTGCCCGCTGCCCACCAGGTCAGGCATGGCCGAGATGGAGTTGGACGGCCGGCGCTCGTGCTGCTGGATGTCGCTCTCTGTCAGCCACGGGAACTCACGCCCGCTCTTAGGGGAATGTTTCGGCTCAACCGTGGCAAAATACTGGATGCAAAAACAAGGTTATTCAATGAATGAGGACTACATTTAGTGCACAAGTTAAGTAGTTGGAGGGGCGGCGCTCGTGTTGCTGGATGTCGCTCTCTGTTAGCCACGGGAACTCACGCCCACTCTTGGGGGAATGTTTCGGCTCAACCGTGGCAAAATACTGGACAGGAAGACAAATAATTTTCCACAGTGATGCCTATCTCTTCTATGAATGTGGACTATGCTCAGCACACAACAATAACCTCATTTTCTATGTCCTGGTAACATTTACTAATTGTTAAAAGCGTAATAGTTTGGTAACCTAATGGAAACCACAGAAACCCCATTTCAGAATATACCATGATACACAGTCTCTGTATCACTCTAATTTTAACTCAAATTCTTGAAAATCTCAAAACAATAATATCTACTAGAAAGGCCAATATTTGCTTTGGAGCAAATACAGCGATGGGTTCACCACATTTTACGACATGGCAGGGAAAGAATGAGAAACACAAGGGAAAACAATGATTTACATTGATATAACTATAATATGAAGTAACATACAACTAAAACAACAGTTGGATAGCTATTCCCTACTTTATTGGTTAGGATTTTTAATTGCATAATGCAAACTGTTGATTTTCAAAAAAAAAAACGTTCATGCCCCGCATTCCAATGCTGGAGCAGAAAAGCTTGAAATACCTACCAAAACACTTGAATAAAGACATACTGTCAGTATGGAAATGCTCTGTGCAGGTATTAATCAAGTTAAATCCCAACAGCCAATCAGCAAGAAATGCTCTGTGCAGGTGGAAATGCTCTGTGCAGGTGTTAATCAAGTTAAATCCCAACAGCCAATCAGCAAGAAGTATAGAGGAAAGCTGCATGCCTATTGGTTGATGCCCTGCATTCCATTGTGATGACTCATGCCCAGACGTGGTAAACACGGCACACTAACACAGTAATACATTTGCTATAACACAGCCAAAAAACTCAAATAAAACCATTCTAAAAGCCTGTATCACAAAAATTTAAAAAACGCCTAGGGGTATTTGCCCACTGTACCTCCATACCAAATTTCAGGACCTTAGGCCCTAAAATGAAGAAGCTGAATCCATTTAAAAAATGGCAGGAGAAGAAGAAGAAGAAGAAGGAGGAGAAGGAGGAGAAGAAACATCAGAAAAAGCAATATGGGTTCACCACCACTTTGTGGTGTGGTGAACCTATAATGAAGCTTTACCTGCATGCCCTCCAGTGACCCTGCCCATGTAGTTTTACTGGTGAGCGCCCCGTCTCTCCAGGCTGACTGGTGCTGACACTGCAGTATCCGGGCGTTGGCTGCGCTGGCGATGACACAACCCGGAGTCTCACATCCCTGCAGCATCACCTGGCAGTTGATCAGCTCAACTGGAGAGAGAATGGCAGTTGAAATGATACATACATGTACATTGTAATGTGCTGCTGTAAACATCTAATTGTAAAATCACAGAGAAGCTGCTGTGTGGTAGATCTATCCCCCATATATCTCAAGTTACATGTATCTGAGAAAGAAGACTAAGGTTTGCTGAGAATACATTCCAGATTTAAGGAAAGACTATGTGATGTTCTCTTAGGGGCACCAAACATGGCCATGCAAGAGTATATGGCACGGACAGAAGTTTGAAAAATACTATGTCTTTCTTTTCCGTTTCAAAATTTAAAAAGTTCCAAGCCATTATAATACCATACAAAACTAGAATAGGAGGAAGGAAAATGGGACATAGAACTTAAATTAGAAAGGCAGGTAAAATAAGTTGTTTACTTACTACACCAGTTCCTGTTGATGACATCATTGGTTTGACAGGCAGCTATCCCATGAAGCAACTCTCTCTCCCCGGTGTTCTGTAACAAAAGACATGAAATTTCAACACAAGTCATTAAAAGACAAAGATAGACATTTCTAAATTCACCCATTAATAATTTTATCAGGTTGGTGAATGGTTAATAGCAATTTCTTCATTCACAACCACTTGTTTAACAAGAGCTGGCGTTTTGATGTTGGTCATCTTCATCCTAGCTTCTTCAGTGCACAGTAAAACAGTCATAAAAGCCTGATTTAGATGACAGATGGTCATTGAAACATTAGATCTTGCTAAACAAGTGGTTGTGAATAAGGAACTTTGCTATTCCATTCTAAATTCACATTCAGTACAAGTTCTGGAAAAAGACCAGACAGACAAGAAAAAAGCACTTTTTTACCTCCTCTGAAAAAGCCATAAACTTGGTGTCAGTCTCTGACAGAAGTTTCTCCAGCATGGAGGCTCCATGCCCCTTCTGTAGCCGTGTCAGGGGGCTGGGTGTGGACCCAGGCTGGTTAAACGACCCACTCCGGGCCTTGGTCGTCGTAACGGACTCCATCTTGATGCCCTTCAGGGCCTCTGTGGAGAGGTTCTTCTTCAGGATCTAAAAAGAGTTGAAAAGATCAGTAAAGAAACCTCAAGATGAGATCTTTACTGGGTTGATGAAGAGACAGAGTGTGTCTTGAAAGCTCCCCAGAGTAGCTACTTTTTGTTGTGTATCCTTAAAAAATATTTGTCAAAAACAATAACAATCACTGCCAAATGTGTGTACATCTATCTGTATCTGTATCTGTATCTGTATAGCCGGCATAACTGCCTTTCGGCGTAACACACCAGCTATCTATCTCTATTCAGCAACTTGTACTTTACTTTTAGGTTTGCAAAACTTGATAGTGTGCAACAATCTGTTTTTGTGATGTTCTCTGAGGTACTACAACTTACCTGGGCTTTGCTGTAGCCTTCGTAGAGCCCAAAGACAACCCCCCGGTTGGAGGTGTTCCATGTACCCTTCAGACACTCCAACACAAGGCTGTGAGTAAACTCCTACAGGACACAAGTATCAGTCAAGAAGTCTTGTATCATATAGTATCTGAAAGCCCCTGTCTTGTTAAATTTCGTTTAATTTAATGAAGGTACAAATCTCATAATCATGCTACACACAAATACGATCATTAGGGCATATTTTTGAACAAGAAGATATAAAATACAGAAGTGGGACAAACAAATTCACTTCCAATATTAAAAATGAACAGCAAATTCTGTCAAATATATATTTTCAACGACATGTAGGTCATCGTTGTTAAGAATTTCACCCTCAAACAGAATTGGAATTGCTGTGTGAGATTTTACCATGATTTCTGTGCCTGTCTGCTGGGTTGGTCCGGCCTGTGAAGAGACAGGTTCCTCTGTCACGGGAGATGCAGGCTTAGCATCGTGTCTGGAGTACGCAAACCTGGGAGAGTGGAGAAATGTCAGATAACTGTGGCACATGTGAGGGGCCCAATGGCTTGGACACTTTATTCAAGAAGATCAAGATCAAGATGGGACAAAGCAAAGCAAAGATGAGCAAAACTCACCTTGAGAATGTGAGGAAGTGACTCTTCTTGACTGGCTCTCTCACAGACAAACTCTCCTATGACCAAAAGACAAGCAAAGTTACCCCACCTTCCTGTTTCAAACATGTTGGTTATAATGTTGTCAGTATAGTTGAATGTAAAAAAAAATGTAGCCCACCTTGCATCAGTGTGCACTTTTGTTCTTTCTTCTCTATCATGAACATTTACTTGTTCCCTTGCAATTTTTAAATCACGAATTTGCTTTTTTTTATAGAGTAAAAATAGAGTATGGGAGAAAACTAACAAACCACATGTTTCCTACCTTACTATCCTGCCCCTGGGTTCCACACAGATACACGTGGGACTCGGCTATGCTGCTGCCCAGTTTGGTGATGCTCCAGTCGGCCCGCGGTCGGCGGATCAGTCCATCTGTGTACGGTACCAGCGTCAGGCCCCACTCAGAGTTGATGCACCCCGCGCCGAAGCACATCTCGATCCCTCGCTGTTGGGCGAAGGACGCCCAGTAGTTCACCGTCAGCTCTGGGAACTTGAAGTCCAGGCTGATAGATCTGTGGTAAGGTAGAGTTTCAGGACATAATGATTTGGTGTGTACTATAATTTCACTGCCTGTGTTCTCTAATTTGTGGACTTGTCAGCATAACATACTGCATCTGCGTCAAAGCCGGATTCTTTCACAGTTTTTGTTGGATGTTTGTTCCACGTTGGCCAATGTTTGGTCTGCATTTTGCCTGTTGCAGACAATATCTTTTCCGCCACAACATTTTATAACTATAGATGGCATGTCCTCCTTAAATAAACAAATACAACCTTGAGCGAGACGTTTTGCTGAAAGTACTTTGTAAAATAAATAATGGTTTTGCACAGTTGCAGTGCATTCTGCTGACATACTTGAGAACTTAATAAGGCCACACCAATTTAATTTGTTGGTTCTCGGATTTGCCTCTTCGTTTTTTTCTGATTTGCAAAGAAAAAAAAAATTGATTCTGGTCCTGAATCAACTGAAAAATGCTTATGTTTTGCCCCCCAACAGTTGAGGAAAGTCCTTTTCTTCCTAGTTGTTACAGTTTTCCCATCTATCATTGCAGTGGTTTGATTAAAAGTTCAAAATTCAATGTTTAAATTTTAACCCAGCCTTTTGTGTTGACTTCATGGCTCATTTTGTAGCATTTAAGCCTATAATAGGATGCCTAGACCTGTTTTTATTTTTATTTTTTTCGCCCTGTCGCTTCATATTTTTTCTGAAAAAATCCGAGAACTAACAAATTAAATTGGTGTGGCCTAAGATTTGTGATTCTTACTTGTAATGTCTGCCGAGCTGGATTTTCCTGGGCTTCTTGTTGTTCCACACTTGCCCTCTTCTGATTGGTCGTGATACAGAAGCGATGATGGCCTAGATATCCAGATACAGAAAATACATTAAGATTCGGTATGATATGATACATCTTTATCACTGTAACAGTCACTTTTATACGAGTGATCTTAGCTATAATCAGCAAAGAGAGAAGCTTAAAAGCAGGAAGAGGGATAAAGGCCTGTTACTAATTAACCTACCCATAGATTCTGTAGCCATTTCAGAGTACTGCTGTACAGTAAACAAGATGGGGACTGTTTCTTCTGGTCATCAACAACCTGCAACACACATAGGAATGGGTTCAGTGGGCCCAGGGGGCCATAATCAAACATATCCTTTGCTGTCACCTACCCACATACAAAACATTGAATGTAAGGATCCATATGTTGTACACAAACAAGCAAACACACACAAAATATAACCTTCTCTGCAAAGGTAATTAATAAACAAATTCAGTAAAACTACAATACATTTCATTATTATGACACACTCTGAATACTAAAAAACCAAGATGAGAGAACCTACCCGTGGAGGTTTGATGTCGATCGTGATGGCCAGTTTCAGGTTCTGAGACCGGAAAGCTGCATAGGAGTCATGGCCCTGCAACAGAGAGACAGAAAGAAATTTTTTGCAAACCGCTAAAAAAATTCAAAATCAAACCAAAAAGGTCTATTACAGTATTGGGTGATATAACTATTGAATGCTTGGCTAGAAACAAATTTCTGTACACTTCCTTTTGGGACAAGCACCTTACAAAAAATGTATTTATGATGCTCATTAGTGCTATCAGTTTTGAGCACAAGAAGTTTCTCACCTGTTTTGATGTCTCTGGTACATTATGTGGTGCACAGGGCATGACTGAATGGTGGTCGTTTGGGTCTCCGTTACACAGCCACTCAATGTCAAACCTGGGTTTCACAGGATACAAACACAGAACAACTTTTTCTTGAACAGGACAGTTTTCTTTATATGCTTGGGCAGACACAAGAACATACTGAAAATCTTATTCAAAATCTGTGTTGTAAAAAGGACAAAAAACATATTTTGTTCTGGGTACTCACCCTAGTCTGAGGTTGGGGAAGCTGAGAAAGTGACAGTCGTCATACTTGGAGGCAGTCTTCACATACACATCCAGGTCTCCCTTCCACAGAAAGTGGGCTGAATAAAATTATAAATGTTTGTTACCATTACACTAAAAATCAGTTACTCAAGCAACTGGATATGATTTTGAAAATCATATCCAGTTGCTTGAGTAACTGCTTTTTGGCGTATCGTATTACCTGGATGTCTAACCTTCATCGACGTTTGTTACCATTGTTGCACCATATCTAATGTATCTTTTATGTTTTCATATTTCTCAATTCCTCAAAAATTTAGGGGGAATGCACTCTATAATTCACTCCATTAAACTGTATGTACTAAATATTTTCACATTGATGTTGTAGTTCATATTTTTCCCCATCAAATCCAAGACTACAAATGAGATAGCCAAGTTACCATGGTGACAGACATCTGGCTCAGGTCATTGACCTTACATGTATGTGTTTGGAGAAGAAGAAGAAGAAATAGAGCAAAATCAATATGTTTTAATTTGCTCTGTGAGGGTAAACAGGTGTTTGTGAGAGACAGGTATTTGCTAACCAGTTGTCCAGTCCATGTACAGGTCCTTCCACTCCCAGGCCATCTCCTCGGTGGAGTTGTAGGGGTCGAGAGAGGCGTGCATCAGTAGACTCATCTTCTCCACTGACATGGTCAGTCTGCCATGGTACAGCAGACGGGACTACACGGGGGACAACATTACAACTGTAAGATACATGGTAGCCTGGCTACATCACACTTCTCCACTGACATGGTCAGTCTACCATGGTACAGCAGCCGGGACTACAGAGGGGGACAAATATTACAACTGTAAAGTTTACAACTGTAAGGTAATGTTAGCCTTAAGTTACTACACCATATGCTACTAGCAGCCCTTTTACTAGCCAGACTACATCACACTATTTGCAGCCCTTCCACTGGTCAGGACCCTAGCCTGACAACATCACGCTTTTTGCAGCCCTTCCAGTGGTCAGGACACTAGCCTAATGACTGGTTTCTATTGTGACAGAGAATCTTATAAGCTCCTACTGGGCTGATTTCCATATAGTGATTGTGATAGACATTACCAACAAGTTGTACACCTCACCTTATCCCACCAAGGAAGAGGCTTGCTTGGGTCAATGGATGGTTTGGTCAGGTAATCTGGAAGGCATTGATGTTGTAGCATTACATACATGTGGTAATGTAGCATTGCCAATAAATACTATACAAAATACAAGTAGCCATTACCAATATCAACATTGTAACGTACCCAGTGCCAGGTTGACCTGTGATATTGCAGGGTCCCAGCATGGCCCCCAGGCATAACGGAATGTTTGGGCATCTGAAGAAAAGGAAAAATCGTGAATATTGAAGATTTGTTCATGAAAACAGAAACTTCTTCACTATACATAATATATCACATCAGAGTACATGATTGTGTATTAATGCCATAAACTTTTTTTTTGGTTGACACATCAATTGTTATTGTCATTATCATTACCCTCATTATCATTATCATGTACAACTATCATTATCTTTCTGATTATCTTCCTGATATGTGAAGCTGTATTGTACTTACCACAGCTGAGATCGTGGTAGAATTTCAGTGCTGGCATGCTGCGTTCCACAGTCGCATCGCCAAATGGACCTCCTATCTCCACTTTTGTGGGTCTCTTTGCTGTAGGGTCATCATAGTCATTGAATATTTCATTTCAACATGTGTTTTAGCAGTCTTTACCTAGCATTGCTACAATAAGCCTTAAATAACATAATAACATGTTGGTGTCTTTACTGTCTTTGATGGTGTTGCTGGAAAATTCTGCACAATGCTGTGAGAGAACATTAGACCCTAGAGTGTAAAACTAAAAGACTTTATCTATAATATGTCCTTATGCATGGAGATAATACGTAACAATTCAGACAGAAAACCTGCTACTGTCCATGGTTCTGAAATGCTATCAACTGTCAATAGTGCAGGAAGGAACTTTAAGAAGTGTATCGTTAGTCCGTACCTGTGTCTGCTGCCTCCTGCTCTGCCCCCAGTAGCCTGCCCCACCAGTGCAGGTCTGTTGTCTCCAGTAGTTTCACCGTGTAGTCTCTGAGCTGGAACTCCAGGTGGCGCACGTTACCCCTCACCATCCTGCACCACAGGGTACTGAACTCCAGGTCTGCTGGGTAGGGGCTGGGGGGAAGGGGAAGATAAGTTGAGTTAATTAGCATACATAGTAGCTATTCATCCTGTGGTCATCCAGGGAGAAGTCTTGATATCTTTAGTCAGTGACTGAGGATATCATTGATTAATAAACTACTGTAGTCAGTAGGGCAGAACTGTTGTATCATTAGGCAGTTAACTGATGATCATTTTTAAGAGATATTTAAAGGCTATTAAGAGATATTCTTTTACACACTACTTTATTTCCTTTGCTACTGTTCCACCCTGAAACTGTAATATTCCTATATAATGTGAGAGATGTTATTTTTACACATTTTTGTCCTACGTTGTAATTTAATACTTCCTTTCATCTCAAGAGATTTGGTGGTATAACCAGCCCTGACCTGTCCTTATCGATGTCCTGCATGTGCCCCACGATGTTGTCCCTCCCGTCCATGGAGGGGTCGGCCAGCGCGCACACCTCCAGCTGTTTCATCTCCCAGCGCAGCAGGTGTGTCCTCATGGGCGTGCTGTACAGCTTCTGTGAGCGCTGCACGTAGATACGGTCACACTGCTCACCCAGCTTCAGGTACATCTCCTCTACTTTCTTAGCTGAGTGGATCAAAGCAATCATTTATGGTATTACAAAATACTGCAGTGATACTTTCTTCTGCTATCAGTATGAAACCAATTTAAGCTAACAATTATGCTTAAGTATACCCTGTCACACTTTTCTCCTCACTTCAGGTACATCTTCTCAAGCCTTAAAGCCTTAAAAACAAAATATGGATGAAGTTAAAGTAAGACCTCAGCAACTCGAGTTACTAGAAAACAACAGGCTGCCAAATTACACTTTATGGTGGAATTAGAAAGCTTGCTTTGATAACAAATGGACCAATCAACATTCTCTCCAAGGAAACAGACTGACCAATCAGAATGCTTACAAAAGAAACATGTTGACCAATCATAATGCTTGCCACCCACCTGGCAGGAGCCCATGAGACTTCCTGAGTGCAGAGATCCTGTTCTCCAGCAGCTGTCGTCTCTTCTCCATCTCATGTTTCTCATCCCGCATCAGCTCATAGTTGTCTCCTAGTCTCACTTCAAACGGGTCGTCCAGTAACTCTACTGTGGCATGCTGGGGGACAGACAAAGATCATTCAGACATAAATCTTACTAGTTAATCTGATCATCCTCTGGAGATGACATTAATACTTTGGTCCAGTGTATTGGGGGTCAGTCACTTATTAAGGATGAAGGCGACAGTGGTCGCTGAAAATTTGATCGCTTTGTACCCTTGTGTTGAAATAAAGTTAAGCATTAAACATAGATAAACTTCCATGATAATGTGAGAATAAAATGCTCTACATGGTGCCAGCTGCAGATGAAACTATAAAGGCTCACCTGTACTTTGAGCAGGAAGTCAGCATACAGTTTGTCTGGTGTTCTGGGTTTTCCCTGTTTGTAGAGTAACTTTACCCACTTCACACAACTGATGGTCTGGAAGGAAAAATACACTTAATTCACCAAGAGAATCATTATTGTAAAATAATGCATTACAACAAAATCGTTCTTAATCTGTATTTGAAACCTTGCATTACAAAATCAAAGGAACAATTCTCAACACATCATAAAATACAAATCTGAAATCAACATAGTTATTGTGCAAGAAACGCCACATTCTTTTAGTCTTTGGCGGTAGTTTCTAGGATAAATACTTCAACATTAAAAGTTCCTACCTTGTCTACAGCAGCAGCAAAGTCATACTTGTATGGGAATGATATGTGGATTTTGTCCATGTTCACACTCCTATAAGGGGGCAAAGAGGGTAAAGAGGGTAAAGAGAACATACTGTTTTTAACCCTGCAACTGAAATAGATTTGGCACCTAGCGCAACAGGCTTTATTTTGTAAGTTTAAGTACAAAAGAAGTCAAACTTGACAGAATCATTCTGGCAACATACAGTTTAATAACATGCTAGGGAACACTTGTAGTGGACATGCAAATGATGGAAAAGACTGATGGAAAAGACTGCTGAAAACTAGTTCTAACTTACCATGCCCTGTTGGTGGGGTTGACCAGAGTTTCACAGCCAATCCGCTCTCTCTTCAGCTGTTCATGTTCCGGGAAATGTTGTATGGAAATGACCTAAAATAGGTCAAACAAGGTCAGAAAAGGTCAAACAAGGTCAAGGTTGCTACATATCTACTACAATTATTACACTGAATTCCCTCAGTTTGTAGGCTTAAGTTGTTGTAATCAGTTCTTGGGAAGATACAGCATCTAATTATAAAGGAACTTATAACTTCTGAAGTTTGTAATATATTGGTAGGTACCTCAATGTTGAAAATGTCATGATCGTCAAAAGACACTGTCAGCTGAGGTGCAGTCAGCTTAACAAGTTTTCCCTGCACTGAAACCTTCACGTCACAAGATGAGATGTCGATTCTGTAGGGAAAAAAGGCATGTTTACTCCAAGATGCCCCTTCAACTTGTAAAGAAACTAATAAAATATGACATTTGAGAACAAAATCAATGTCCATAACTCAAAGTCTTAGCTTTTGTCAGCCATTTTTAAGATTTTCCTGAGAAGAGCCCACTTACTTGCTTGTGGTTGATGTGTGTAGGCAAACCTTCACACATAAGACTGACATGTTGACACTGAAGCTAGCCTGGGGTGTGGACTGCACGTCTGATGGTCTAACCTTGCTCTTGGAGGACAGAACTACAAAAACAGCAATGTTATATGTTAGACATATAGGACAGTCCTACATTATCAGTAATGTCACATTGTATGCAGTCAAACTTCTAATAGTAACCACCCCTCACTTGTCCATTGTGACCACTTTTTGCTGGTCCCTTGGATTTTTCCATTGACCCAAGTGCTAAAAATCTTGCCTGCAGTGTCCACTTGCATCCACATGATAGGCCTGCCCACTACAACCAACCCATGCACCACTCAGACTTTACCACTGCCTTTGCAAAATTACACACTACACAAGTATTTTACCATAGTACCAAAAGCCAGCTTGGCAAAATACTAAATACTAAGACAGCATATATGCATCTCACCACTGAGTTTGCTCCTGAATGACAGAATGTCTTTAATGTGTTGGAAGATGGACATATGAGCCCTGGTGGTCCAGTCTGCCTGGATCCCACTGGGGCAGTCAACAGATAGGGCCTGGTGGGGACAAATATCAATGAATAAGAGGTCAGTTCTGCTAACATACTGTGAATACATGTACTCACACCAAAACATCTCTCAGCTATTTGAAGTATGAATGTCAGGGAAATTTTCTTGGAAACAAGTAATTAAATACACATAAACCAGCTAGTGAGTGAGAGTCAAACCTGTACCAGTAACAATGTCTATAAGGACTAACTAAACTAAAGTACATGTGGACCAACCTTGCAGACTGGAGTGTATGCCCAGGACATGTTGTCAATCTGTACCAGACCCTCAGGCAGTTCCTTAGCCTGCACACACTTGTAACTCTGCAATAGAAATGACAACAATAATTCATGGTTAAGATTCATGTGATGCGTCATTCAAAGTATAACAGCTGAAAAAGGCCATACAGTCAAGAGTCAACAAAGAGAAAAGTGTCAATATTAGTCAAAATCATTTGGAAATCCTTACCTGTCCAAGCATGGCTGTCGTGAGAAAGCGGACACCCTGTATGGACCCCTGATACTGAGGGTCACACAGACCCACTCCCACCTCATCTATGTGGAACAACAGGCACTCTTCTGTTGAAGGGAAAGAAAAGACAAATTACACACAGGCAATGTACAAAAATGTGTACAAGATCATTGAGCAAAAAATGGCATAGACAACTTTTTTCTTCAAAATCTAAAGGATGTTTGTATGACCAAAATCCCACAAAGGGTTTAACATGTTGAGTCCTGTCCTTGGTGCTGAACAAATTGTCACCAAATGCTTATTTCCATTATCATGATTTATTAATTGTCTTTTGTTCTTAGATGTGAGGCTTTCCTTCTATTTCCTTTTTCATTTCTCCATACATTGTTCATATTCGAGTCGGTCTAGTAGAGAAACTAGGTTTCTGTTGATGGCTACCTACTGATTTCCTTAGCTCCAAGCAGATGTTTCAGTGGCCACAAAAGACAGTATCAAATTGGCCAGGCAGTTTCCCTTAGCCAGACAGTATCCATTTGCCACCCAAATGCTTGACCAATTTGATAATGTCTTTTGTGGCCAACGAAACATCTGCTTGGAGATTACAGATTTCCTGCTGGTTCTCATTTGAAATTTGTAAAGTTAATATAAATAGAAATACTGATGGACCTTACCTGGCACACTGCCACAGAAGAAAGCATTCAGTCCCTGCAGTCTGAACTGCACGTTACATGACAGGGACCTGTCTGTGGGCTTGTCCCGTGGAGGGGACACCGCTTCCACTGTCGCCTCAGGGTCTTTCCTGGAATGCACAGCTTCCAGTAAGAAGGTGAGAACCTCCATGGCAGGTACAGACCACTCCAGCTGCAGGTCGTACGCACCACCTTCTACTGTGAGCTGCTGCTGGGTTATCTTCTCTTGGAAATGTGAGGTGGACTTGCCCTGGAAAATTTACACATTGAACATTGCTGAATATTGAAGGAAAGAAACACATGAAAAGGTATGACACGGGAAATCATGCAGCATTTCCTAATTCGTACGCATATGAAACCACGTATACAGCATTGATATCTGGACCCAAATGCAAGCTCAGATAGCACAAGAAACAGGGGAAAAGATACAAAACACAGGAAAACCAAGACAAATTCACATAAGAGAAGATCTTTTGGGGCAAAACCTTGTGGTTTGAGGCATTTGTACAGTATTTTCTGACAATACTGATGATCAAGATGCCCAACAGAAAGAGTGACCCCTACCTTGATTTTAAGAGACTGTACAGCCAGTACCTGTCCCCAGATGTGGACCTGAGGCTCAGTGTTGGCCTTACACACAGCATGGTCCCCAACTGCACACCACAGGTTATCTACTGTGATATCTCCACTAGAAACAAGACATATCAGTCATCATTATGATTTAGTAGTATGTCTACACCCAATCTATTAATGATATACTATTCTTGATGTCCAAAAGATGGGTATCAGTGAAAAAATCCCCCCAAAAATTGTTTAATGAGTTGAGTCCAGTCCTTGGTGCTGAATATGCCATCATCACCTATCTAAAGATTACACACAGGTAACAGACAAAGATGTTTACAAGATAGTTGATGAAAAATAACACAGCCTAGACTTAAAAGGATGTTTGTGCCATAAAAATCCCCAGTTAACATGTTGAGTCCTGTCCTTGGTGCTGAAAATATCATCATCTACTGTTGGATCCACCTGTGTCTGTATTTATACAGTACATGTAGTTACAATACCGTATAATCAAGCAAATGTATTTAAGAAAAGTCCATACCTTAACTCTGACCCTATGATTGGAAGACCTGAAGAAATACAGAAAAAAGTCACTCAATACAAGTTTTCAAAACATAATTGTATAATGACTTAGAGGAAACAGGCACAGGAACAATGTAATCATATTTATGGGTTCACCACACCACGAAGTGGTGGTGAACCCATATTGCTTTTTCTGATGTTTCTTCTCCTCCTTCTTCTTCTCCTGCCATTTTTTAAATGGATTCAGCTTCTTCATTTTAGGGCCCAAGGTCCTGAAATTTGGTATGGAGGTACAGTGGGCAAATACCCCTAGGCGTTTTTTAAATTATTGTGATACAGGCTTTTAGAATGGTTTTATTTGAGTTTTTTGGCTGTGTTATAGCAAATGTATTACTGTGTTAGTGTGCCTTGTTTACCACGTTTGGGCATGAGTCATCACAATGGAATGCAGGGCATCAACCAATAGGCATGCAGCTTTCCTCTATTCTTCTTGCTGATTGGCTGTTGGGATTTAACTTGATTAACACCTGCACAGAGCATTTCCATACTGACAGTATGTCTGTATTCAAGTGTTTTGGTAGGTATTTCAAGCTTTCCTGCTCCAGCATTGGAATGCGGGGCATGGACGTTTTTTTGTTTTTTGAAAATCAACAGTTTGCATTATGCAATTAAAAATCCTAACCAATAAAGTAGGGAATAGCTATCCAACTGTTGTTTTAGTTGTATTTTACTTCATATTATAGTTATATCAATGTAAATCATTGTTTTCCCTTGTGTTTCTCATTCTTTCCCTGCCATGTCGTAAAATGTGGTGAACCCATCGCTGTATTTGCTCCAAAGCAAATATTGGCCTTTCTAGTCATCTTTCATTCATCAATTTGATCATTCTTGTCTATCTGTCTGTCTATTTGCTTGTTTTCTTACCTGTTTCTTGATTGTTTGTTTGCTTACCTGAATCAGAAGACTTCTGTCCAGAGGCAGCTATAGAGTTGATTCCCAAGGCAAACTCTGGATGGTCAGGAATGGTGACTCGCACCGAGGCATCGGTCACCGACACTTGGGTGGACATGGGCACTTGGAACTGCAGGGATACACCGCTGAAAAACACAAGGATATTATTTCATTTAGAGAACAACGTTGTGCCAATTTCACTTTCTAACTGTCAATGAGTCGAGCTTGTCTCAAACATTGATGTTTCTGGCATAGGAAGAAGAGATGCTGTTCCAGTAACCTACACTTCCTTCGGTGCTTACAAGTGGTGTGTTGGTCTTCCCAAAATAGTTTCATCAGGTTGGTTAAGTATAGGATACGAGGGTTTTCTTCTACACAATCAAATGTTCATACGTTGCTGATGTTTCGGTGTCTTGGCCTTGCACTAAGCAAATTTGTTTTAACAAATTATAAAGGACACTTCAAATGCTGGCAACATGGACAACACTAGACATACATTGTATGAGTGTGTAGCAAACCAACAGCACTTTTTTGAATTTTAAATTTAAAATGTAGAAAGCTGGTACCTTTTCTTGCTAGGCACAGACACAGGTGCAGAGACAGGCATGAGGGCAGCTGTTCCCATAGGCTGGGCGTGACCCCTCATCTTCAACATCACCCCATGCCAGTACACCATCTCTGCATGGTCATGGTGGGCGTGGCAGGTTTCCATGGTGATGGTTGTTGTGATGCCCGTCCCCGACACCTGCCAACAAGGTGGTAGTAAAATCAGTGACACGGTGCCATCACAATAAAAAAAAAATTGTTTAACGGGTCGTGCACTGTCCTTGGTGCTGAACATATCATAAGGTACTTTGCTTGTGGCCATCCACTGGTTTCTTTTCTCAATGCTTTTTCACATTGATGTAGGAGTAAGAGATGGTTAGAAAACAAGTACAAGTAGATCACAGAGAGAGGTCTACATACAATGTGGCTAATGTACACTTAAAGGTATATGTGCCTCAGATTAGGGACTCATCATCATCATAGCTTCCCAACCAGTTCTGACAGTTATGGACTGATCTGACAAGAACAATAGA